CACAGACTACTACCAGACGGCCAACTCCATTGTGAAAGCGAGATCCAATATATACCGGTCTCTCTCACTCATCATGTAACACTTATGTAGATGGCAGTGAGAAGCAAAAATGCAATTGGCGCCAAATTCAAATCTTTTATTTAATTTAAAATTTGAATACAGAAATATTTTTGATCTAATGTGCTTTTTGTGGATCTATTAAGCTATATTTAGCTTGCGTAAGCCAAAATAATTACAGCTTAATAGACCAATAAAAAGCACCTCAAATCAAAAAGTTATAATTTTATAATTTCAATGCAAAATAAAGAGAAATCCATTGGCGATTTAAAATTTTATATTTAAATTACAATATAATTACACTAAAAACCGCTGTCCTCGTCTTCTCCGGGATGACCCTCACAGGTTGGGTTGGGTTGGCCGTTTTTGTCTGTGGTTTTCAATTGATAAAGTACATATAACAAAAAAGCATTATAACAAATAAATGTTGGTTATCAAACACCAACTGCTTCTTACCCTAAGTGACACGGTGTTATCAAAAATTTGAATACTATTGAAATTAAAAATTAATATAATTAAAATACTAACCTGTCCTTATTCTTGGGAAAACAAAATAATTTTCCAACTTCATCTTCGCTACATCCACACACAATGCAAAACATTTTTACAATAATTATTCTCGAAAATTATTCGTAAAAAATACAACGCAAAAATAGATAATAAGCACAAATAAGACAATAAACGCAAAAGGACTGTGTGACATGTGACATACATAAAATGTCAAAACCGCTTAAACAAAGTCAACAGCTTTCTGTAATATTACTAACGACATGTACGCCATCTACTAAGGATTTCTATCAAGATGACAAAGAGAAAATATCGGTATTATGATGTGATAATAAGAGATAGAGAATGGCCTATCATTTTCCCGGTGAGCTAACTCTCTGCCTTACTCTGTGGGGAGCTCTAATTTTGAAAAACTGGTAACGGAATCCGATAATCAACATTATTTGACATATTTTGGTCAAATCCGCGAGGAAATCCACTCAGCCGTTTTCGATATAAGGGCGTCTTACTAAACCGCGATTTTCCGCGAAACTGTATGGAATATCGAAAAAATAAAATATGCCACTCATTAAGAACACATCAGGCTACAACCAGTTCAAAATTAAAATTTTTTCGTACGATAGTTTTCGAGAAAAAAAAACGCCAAGTTGACAAAGTTGCCGGTACCGTAAAAAATCAGGTACTTTTTTCATTTAACTCGCGATAAAAAGAAAACCGTGAATCCGAAAATTTTTAAATTAACATATGTTTCGTAGAAATGTTCAGTGATTACAGCAAACTTTGTCGCAATTTTTTTTATCAAGCGGTTGCGAAGGTATCGATCTCTAAAGTGAGGAGCCTTGACTTTTTGCACGGATAGAGTTTGAGTACTTTTCTTTTCCCAATAAAGTCAAATCAAGCCTTCTCGTCAGTGGAAAGTATGTTTATTCTAGTCTTTCGTTTCTACTCCATCATGTTTTCCAGTTTCATCGATTGTAACTCCCAAATACTTGTCTTCCTTCTATCGTCATCATTTTAGTTTTTTTTTTCTATTTATTTTCATGCCATATTCTTTTAGTGCTTCATTCAATGTTGTTTCGTCCACTTTATTATACCATAATCTTAAACTACAACGTTCCGGTTCATAAGCATAACTATTAGAACTTTAATGGGGTTAGCAGAACTTTGAAATTGCAAAAAATTTCAACCTCACGAGACTTGGGTAATTTCGGCCACGTGGAATAATTTGGACGTTTGTAACTTTCTCGATTTAAATCGCTGCTCAACGATTCGTAAGAATAATCGTTTGAACTCAAAGGGAGGTAAACGAAACTTCTATCAGAACTTCAAATTGTATTTTGTGTATTGACTTAAAATATTTAAAAAAATTTTACATTTATTTGTCACAGTAATTAAACAATTAATTAAACAATGGTTTTTAAGAAAAAAACGTTTGTAGAAAATTTGTTAATCCAATCAAAAACTGTTGCTTTAATCAAAGTTTTGTAAGGGTTTGACAAAATTAGCAGTGGCGCTAAAATATTTTTAAAAGGGCTTTTTATTGCAGATAATGTTTAATTTTAAAGAAACTTTGACCCGCTATATCTCGTTAAGGAGGCATTTGCGACCTCATATATATTAAGACTTTTCATCTTAATTTTTCATGTATTATCTACTCTAGAAGTCTGTCAGCGGTTTTTTAAATCACCCTGTATAAACAGGCATAGTGAGTCGCAAAAGACATAAACCGCCGTGTAACGATGAAAATGTGCGCTATTCTCAACATATTCGTGAAAGAACCTTCTAAAGTTTATCGCTGTTATTTAGAAACAATCTATAAAAAGGGGGAAAAAATAAAATCTTTAGGGCATCGACACATTTTACTTTCCTACCAAAAACGTTATAAGACTTTGTAAAGGCGAGTTAAAGTTAAAACGTTAGAGTTAATATTTAAAATAAAATTTAACCTCATCGTTTTTCTTTATTTCATTTTCATCATAACTCATTTAAATAACAAGAATTAATTATTTTTCTTATTTGAGCATTGCTTAATCATCTCTCAGTTTTCATTTTTATACTCATATGTACATAAATGCCGTATTATCGTGAATCTAATTTGTATTGCCTAAAATTTTAAATGCAAATCACTCGAGTATATAAATAGCATACGAATTAGATTCGCGAAAATATTATTTTCGGAAATTTTATTTTCAACTTGAATCGATTGGAATTATATTTGATTCTTTATCGATTTATCGCTTTTAACTTTATCATTTTTAAAATTTTTTACATCGTTCATTTTATTTTCTTTCTGTTTTATATTTGCTACTGCTGTTTTATATTACTGCTGATTTTACTTACTGCATGAAGGAACTTTAAGCAGAATGGGTTCGCTGCGACGAGTTTACAGTAATTGTGGATGTAAGTTTTTTTTTTATTTTGCAGTTTTATGTACATAAACACTATTTTTGATTGGCTTTTTATTTTTCTATTTCAATCATCTATCCACTAAGTTTATACTTTTATTTATTTCTTCGATAACCTTTATCGAATTCCAATTTATAGCGGGTGCTGTTGACGAAGAAAGTTTTTTGAAATTGTTCGAGGATGTTTCTCCAGTTCAACTCTTTTCACAGCGAGAAGTCGTTGATCACATGAAAGGCATTGCTGAAACGATTTCTGACGTAAATAAAGACTGGAATAAACGAGTGGAAGCGGTGTGTTAATACATTTTTTTATTTTCATCAATTTCTATTTAATTTTGTGTTTAGTTGAGGAAAGTTCGAGCGATTATTATAGCAGGTGGCACGAATTTTAGCGAGTTCCACACCTATATAAAACAAATGGAACATTCTCTTCAAGACTCTTGTAAAGATTTACGATCGCAAGTTGTTAGGGAAGCTTGTATAACCATAGCTTATTTAGCCAAGACTTTAACGAATAAATTTGAACGTACCGCAGAGTATGTTCTTAGTACTGTAATAAATTTAATACAAAATTCGGCAAAGGTGACAACACAAATATTTTTAACTTATATATTTTATGATATATTTAAAATTTTAAGATTATGGCAACATCTGGCTTAACTTGTGTAAAATTTATAATCCAATATTGTCAAAGTCCCAGATTGATACCAATTATAACATCAAATTTGGCTACATCAAAAAGTAAAGAAATTAGACGAAGTTGTTGCGAATTTTTGGAACAGATGTTGATGCAATGGCCGACGCATCCTTTAGAGAAGCACATCGCCATCTTGCAGGACGCTGTCAAAAAGGGAATAGCAGACGCTGATTCTGATGCTAGAGTTAGCTCCAGGAAGTAAATAATTAAAGCTACTAATTAAATTGATTAAAAAAAAATCGTTAAAATTATAGAGCGTTCCGTGGATTTAAGGAGCACTTTCCAGACCAAGCGGAGGCACTGCTACAATCGTTAGAACCGAGCTATCGGCGAGCCCTTCAAGGGGAATTATGCTTATCGTCGAGTTCTTCGAGTGGTAGCCTTGCTCAAACTGGTTCTGCGTATAAAACATCGTCAAGACAACAATATAGGCCACCAACAACTCAGAGTACAACCGGTAATTATTATTTTCTTTTTAATTTTTGTTTAATAAAGGTGAAAAAACATTAACAGAAAATATGAGAGGCAAACAAAAAAAATTGAAACTTTTATATTAGGCTTAAGAAAACTAAATTACTATGGTTCTTGTTTGATTGCTAACGCGATGACAGGAAGTACAGAAAATCTTTTCGGGGGTTTACAAAGAGCCCCATCACTACCGAGGAGTTACAGACAACGTAGTGGAATCCCAGTTTTGAGTAGTACGTAACAGTACACGTAAACGTATCACAATTTTGAATCTACAAATATCACATTTTGCTTTTTCAATCTGTTTTTATTTTTACCTAAAGCTTTTTACCACAACCAAAACCATGGAAACCTTTTTTATTAAGTAAAACTTTTATTTTAATATAATGCATATAATGAGGGCTACTCCTGAGTGAATAATAGCTCATTATATGTGAGTCAAATACTATACTTTGTCCACGACTACTGTTGAAATTGATTCCATAAATTTATTTTTTTAAATAAATTTTTGAATGAAGTTTAAACGTCAATGTGACACAAATTCAATGTTACCAACTGTAACTAACTTCACAACAATTTGTCAAAATTAAATGTCAATTTTATGCAACGTCACTTTTTTTACAAAAATTAATTAATTTATGCTTAAATCATACGAAAAAAAGGAATTTGTTTACGTTTTTTTAATATCAAACCTTTAGAAAGTCCTAAAGAATGAAATTAAATTGGCGTTTTTTGAAATTTTGACGTTTCAAATAATTGTTATTATAAAAAGTTTTAATTGTTATTCAGCGCTAAGTTGTATATTTTTAAGTTTCGGGTTTAGGTCTGTGTCTTCAGACGCTGAATGTTAGGTAAGGTTAGTTTTGTTTACAAACATTAATTATACCATGAAGTATTCTTTGGCAATTAGTAATGGCAATTATAGCGTGAAGTTTTCTTTTGTAATGTCAATTATAGCGTGAAGGAATGTTAGGTAAGGTTAGTTTTGTTTACAAACATTAATTATACCTTGAAGTTTTCTTTGGCAATTATACTCTGTTTTTAAACCAGGAGGAGTATTTTAAATTTGTCACCAGATTGACCTTGCACGTGATTGGTTGAATGCGAGGAAGGTTCACACACAGGCAATTTTGAATTTGAAGGTTAGGTTATTGACAATTCGACAGTTTCGTGTCATTATTGTAAATTTTGTGTTCTTAAACCCTTCTTTATTATATTTTGAAATAAATACACTCATAACTTCAATGTTAATTTGTATGTTTAGTGTTGACGATAACAAACGAAAATAAATACAATAATAAGTAAGTAAATAAATAATAATAATTATTAATTTAAATTTACCGCCAAAATATCTAGTGATATTTTCTGGCGATTTTTCCTAGTGTAAATCTGACTTTCGCGTTTACTCCTCCTGGTTTAAAAACAGAGTATAGTCTGCCCTGTGAATAATGATTATTCGCCGATATTATTCACTCCGTGAAAAATGACTACCCTTTTGTTTTGGAAAACTCATTTATAAGGTATATATTATAAGGTAGTCGTCGACAATAGTATATTATTGTATGAGCATATAATGAGGGCTATTATTCACTAAGGTTAAGTTTAATAAGCATAATTAACCTGATTTATATGTGAGTAGAATACTATACTTTGTCCACGACTATTGAAATTGATTCCATAAATTTATTTTTAAATACATTTTTGAACAAAGTTTAAACGTCAATGTGACACAAATTCAATGTTACCAACTGTAACCAACTTCACAACAATTTGTCACAATTAAATGTCAATTTTATAAAACTAAATTAATTTATGCTAAATCATACGAAAAAAGGAATTTATCTAATTCCATTATGAAAATTAAATTTTACATGTCTATCTGACGTTTTGTAACGTCACTTTTTTTATAACTAGTGATGTAATGATTTCAACCTAACTACAAATTGATAAATTGACATCTGTCACTAATAGAATAAGTCAAGTTTTGAACAAAAATTGCTTTGTCAATGGAATTAAGATAAAATTTTGTACTTAACACGTTATGAAACGGCTAATTTTGTATAACTCACGTAATTTGAGTAATTTAACAAAATTTTTGAATGAACTTTAAACGTCAATGTGACACAAATTCAATGTTACTAACTGTAACCAACTTTACAACAATTTGTCAAAATTAAATGTCAATTTTATAAAACGTCGTATTTTTAACGAAAATTAATTAATTTATGCTTAAATCATACGAAAAAAGGAATTCGTTTAGGTTTTTTTAATGTCAAACGTTTAGAAACTAAAAAATTGAATTAAATTGACGTTTTTTGAAATTTTAACGTTTCAAATACTTATTATTAGTCTGTCAAGTTGGTTAACCGTGAATAATGATTATTATTCACTCCGTGAAAAATGACTACCCTTTTGTTTTAGAAAACTCATTCATAAGGTATATATTATAAGGTAGTCGTGGACAAATTAACTTATATACGGGGAATTTCATATAACTCGCAATATATGAATGCAGTAACCATAGTTACGAAACTACTGTGCAGTTGCACTGTTCCACATAAAATGCAACATAGCTTAATAGTACAGGCATTAGGTAGTTTTGCAAAGGAAAAGTTTTGCTGAGAAAAAGGTGAGTGAAAAAGGTCTTGTGTTAGTTCTAGTTTTAGTGCAATAAAAATATGCCACAAGTGATATCTTATAGTAACTAGCGCTACCTACCACTGTCACTAGCACTAACATTAGACCTAGAACTAGAAACATTCAGATATGTTGCATTTTATGTGGGACAAAAAATAAGTATTTACGCCCTGGTTTCTATGGAAATATATGTTATTTCAACTCGTTTGCTTCTTTATCCCCATTTAAAATCATTTGTATTTGTCACACAGCTACTTTTTTGACGTTGTTGTGACTACATCATGATGGTTTATTGGAATTAATTTTGGAAATTGATTTAAATTTTTAGATGTTGGAAAACGTGGCGTCAGAAGCAACTCTGCTATTGACTTGCAGGCAGCGCAAAGAGCGAAGGCTCGAGCTCAATACGCTGCGATAGCAAGAAATAAGGTTACATCGGGGACGGCTAGTTTACGTAAGTTTATTTTAAAGAGTTATTTTAAAATTTTAGAAAATTGTTAGCAACATTTTAGTTTTATTAAATAAAAAGAAATTTCATAAAAACAACTTTATGGAGCTCGTCATACGAACTTTATATAATCCAGCGAGAACTTGAAAGCGAATATTGTAGGAATTATTCGTTTTCTGGGAGAGTAAACCTTTGGCGTTTCCCAATATTGTTATCAAACGTTTGAATGAATTGAAACTTAGCACCCAATTCTTGTTTTATTAATATTTTAATTTCAATTGCTGACAATTTTCTAATTCTAATCATTTATTTTCAGTCACCATAACTGTACAAGGCATGATGAAATCTATGATATCAATATTTTCACTTTGTGATTTACCAGTAACCAAGCACCATTATTATTAACTTACAAAAGAATATTGTTTTCAATGTAATATTGGTTAATTTTGACATGAATTAAAAATTTTTTGAACTATAATAAGTACGAAGGTTTTCATGGCTGGTGTTAATTAAACTAACACTAGAACTATCACTAGAACTAGAAATTTTCGGGTTAAGCCGTCTTTTGAAAAAATGTTTGACGTTTTCGATTCCATGTTGCAAATTTTTTCAGAAACAATTTCGAAGTGAATGTTAGTTCTAGTCTTTAGGTTCTTAGTCTTTAGTGAATGTTAGTTCTAGCCGTCTTTAGAGATGTGCTCATCATCAGCGTCTAAGTTCTAGTGACAGTGCAAGTGTAAAATTAGAACTAACACTAGACCTAGAACTAGAATCATTTGGGTTTAGCCGTCTTTAGCGACGTGTGGCTAAACCCGAATGATTCTAGTTTTTGGTCTAGCACTGCACAATAATTAAAACTAGAACTAACACTAATGTTTCTAGTTCTAGGTCTAGTGTTAGTTCTAGTTTTATACCAGCACTATTACTATGTAGAACTAACACTATACCTAGAACTAGAATCATTCTGGTTTAGCCGTCTTTAGAGACGTGCCGCTAAACCCAAATGATTCTAGTTGTAGGTATAATGTTAGTTCTAGTGACAGTGAGAGTGTAAAACTAGAACTGACACTATATCTAGAACTAGAATCATTCGGGTTTAGCCGCACGTCTCTAAAGATGGCTAAACCCCAATGTTTCTAGTTCTAGGTATAGTGTTAGTTCTACATAATAACAGTGCTAGCAAACCCGAAAGTTTCTAGTTCTAGGTGTAGTGTTAGTTCTAGTGATAGTGCTAGTGTTAGTTCTAGTTTTAGTTTAATGTAATAATCGTATTTACATAATCAAACAAAATACTTTATCGTTTAGTTTTAAGAAATATTTCTCAAAAGTGAGTACTTAATAAGATTTCAAAATTAATTAATAATATACCGGGTGTAACAGGATCATGGTGCACCCCCCGTATGTCCTTTAGTTTTGAAGATAATTGATTCAAATTTGGGACATCCTATACATATGATAAGAGACACTTTTAAAATTAATCTTTTTTTCAATTCCGATTTTTCCGGAAGTGACACTAACTTTAGATTTTTAAATGGAACATCCTGTAGATTATTACATTTTTGAAATCTGAATAATTTTCTGAATCCAATGGTACCACATAAGTGACATTTCAAACGTCAATATTTTTTAGAATTTAATTTTTAAATTTCCTAATTTTCTAATTAACCCGTGTAATGCTAGAAAAATGTAAATTCCGTCATTTTGATGAACTTTATTTGCACATAAATCACGTAATTTGGTATTTTTGGCGGAATTTAGATTTTTCTAGCATTAGACGAGTTAATTAGAATAAAACGGAACTCTCATGGCACACCTAAATGGAAAATTAAACATTAAATTCTAAAAAATATTGACGTTTGAAATGTCACTTATGTGGTATCATTGGATTCAGAAAATTATTCAAATTTCAAAAATGTTATAATATACAGGGTGTTCCATTTAAAAATCTAAAGTTAGTGTCACTTTCGGCGAAACCGGAATTGAAAAAAAAATTATTTGTATGTCAAAAAGTGTCTCTTATCATGTGTATAGGATGTCCCAAATTTGAATCAATTATCTTCAAAACTAAAGGAGATACGAGGGGTGTACCATGATCCTGTTACACCCGGTATACATACGTATAGGTTAACATGAGTTTAAAGACGTAAATATTACATTGAAAACAATTTTTTTTTAATGGAATGATTTTAATTTATTTAATATACATAAGACGTGCATCTGCATTTATAACGTAGCTTACTAACTAATTTTTTGTATGCTTATTTTTTCATGCCTTATCTAGAGGGAGACGGTATGCATCAAGGTACATAATTTATTATTTTATTATAGTTTTTATTTATTAGTTATTAGTAGAATTAGTAAATGAAAAAAATTGTTTGATTCAATGTTTTTATTAAACGCTAACTTTAATTAGAAAACTCATAATTATAAAAAAACTATAAAAATTATTTAGCACGACCGAGGAAGAGTCCAGAAGTTACTTCGTTGTATTCACCTGAAAGGATAGGCAGAACTCGAAGCAGATCAAGTTCTAGTGTATCGCATTCTCAACGTAAGACACATTTTAAATCTCATAAATCATTTCATTTTCTTACATTCTATTTATTTTATACAACATAATCTTAAATGATCATTTCTTCCAAACGAGTCTGATTTTTACATATTTTTTTTTAATATGTTTTATTCGTTTTAATGAATTGTATAGCAACAAGTCGTTCTGCTTCTCCAAGTGCGAAAGGTTACATGTATCGGTCAACCGATGGTGATTCGCCACGACCTCGTCGTCTCTCTTCAGGAATTCCCCGTTCAACTACCGGTTCTAGAGATACCTCAAGAGAAACCAGTCCAAGTCGTGGATCAAGTATAAGTCGATATAGAAGAACAAACGATAGACCGCCTATTAGTCCAGCTAATCGTTCAGTTATGGCTCAAAAAATTTTACAGCAAAGTCGAGAGGCTGAAAATGCTTTAGCGGACGCTTTGGTATGTTAAAAATAGAAAAATTAAAAATTTCTAATCTTGCTCTTTAATTAGACTCTAGATCAAATGGATGGAAATGACCATCACCGATTAAACAGTCCGCGCAAATTGCTTTCCTTAGAAAATCATTCGGATGATTCAGAAACGTCGAGTGTCTGTTCAGAACGATCTTTTGACTCTTATAGGCGTCCAAGAGATGTGAGTAATTATTAAGTTTAATTCGAATATTCCATGTTAACCATATTAAGATAAAAAAATGTAATTTCCATTGATCCTAAATCTGTAAACCATTTCAGTTGCTGTATCAAAATTGCATGGACACATTCAGGGAGTACAGTGTCAAATAAATCCTTGAGATAAAAAAAATCCCTGCCATTAACCTTTCAATACACACGAGCAGATCAATAAATTTTGTTTAAAAATTTCGTCTCTTAAGACTGCTAAACCTGAAAGTTTCTAGTTTCAGGTCTAGGTTAGTTTTAGTTCCTAGAACTAGAAACATTTACGCGGGTTAAACTGTATAAGCGCGTGTGCTGGAAGGTTAAGAACTATCTCGTTTATTTCCTTTTTTAAAAATTAGTGAAATCCATGTAAATGTATCTGGAGATTTAATTTGATACTCTATAATTTGATACATACAGGGTGTCTCAGCGAGACCGGTCATTAGACGTTTCTAGGGTTCTGGTCAAAATAAAAATTTGAGAATTCCGATTTAAACATTTTTAGCACTTCCGGTTATACCGGAGGTCGCCACCTACTTTATTTTTTTAATGGAACACTTGTATATTTTGACATATTTGGATTTGTTTTTATTTTTAAGGTTTATGAATAACTTTAGTTTAACTTAGTTATTCGATTTTTTCTAAAAAAAATCAGCTCTAGGAGACATTTGTTCAAAAAATCAACGAATTTGGCAATTATATAAAATATTAAAAATTTTTTCTCCTATGTAAATATTAAATTTATGTAGAAAAATATCTCTAAACATTGATCTACTTATTATATTTTGAATTTATCCAAAATATTGGCATAATGTGCACCAACTTTGCCTACATCTGTTTTAAAGTTAACTGCATTGTTTATATTTTTCGTTATATATATCGATTTTAAGTTCTTTCTAGTTATAGTATTTTTATGTGGATCTAGTATTCTGGGTTTTTCAAAATTCAATTTATGACGCAGGATAACCGAGTGTTGACATAAGGCAGTTTTATTTTGCATCTTGATTTGTTTTGTATCATATTTATGTTGTTGTATGCGTTTTTTTATATGCTGTTTAGTTTCTCCCATGTATATCTTTTTACAATCTGCACAATCCAGCCTATATATTGTTTTGATTTTATCTGTTACATTGATTTTATCTTTCACATTGGTTATTAAGTTCCCAAATTTATTGTCATTATATTTGGCAAATTTCACTTCTGCTAACTCGAACTTAAAATTCGAAATTATTTGATCTGTCATTCATTCTCTGACGTTTGTCAGCAGTTTCTAGTTCGGTATGTATACCTTCTGTTTGTCTAGTCATGAATTGTGTTATCAAGGTTTGTTGTTTATTTTTTGTATTATTCTTATATGAATTCTTGTCTTTTATGTTTTTATGTATCTGTTGTTCTATATTGTGGATGAGGATTCTTCTGTGATTACATTAGATATATTTGTCATACTGAGAATTTTATACCAAGCACTATAAGTAACCGTTCTTGGGTAGAAATTTTCTAACAAGATGTCGTAAATTTGTGTCTTAACCACCTTCATAAAATCTTTATCTGTAATTGTTATTGCTCTTTTTATGTAATTAGATATGGTATTTAATATTTGTGTTAGGATGATTATTGTAATAGTTTAGAAGACGATTGCTAGATATATCTTTTGTACCATTTCGTTAGTATCTTATTTTTATCTCTATCTATGATAAGTAAAATATCTAGAAAAGGTAATTTGTTATATATTTGTGCTTTCATTGTAAAATTTAATCTACTCTTATAATTATTGAAAATTTCTAATCATTGTGGATATTGGTTTTTCAGTAATATAATTAATAAGTCATCAATATATTTGGCAATAAGCAGGGGTTTTATATGAGTTAAATTCAGTTGTGTTGTGATGAGATGGTTCATGACTACTAAATATGTGAAAAATTTGAGCCCATAGGGAACCCGAAAATTTGTCTATAGAAATTGTTATCTTATTTGAAGCAACTGTGAAGTGTACATAACTTAATATAATGATAAAGTATGTTTTGGTGCCGAGAACGGATGCCTAGATCGTTTGGTCATTTTACTATGGCACGTTAACTTTTCGAAATTTGGAAGTAGCTTAACTTCATATTTTATTACTTAGTCATCTTCGGCGTCTAATTTTACATCTTTTATATCCCATATGTCCTATACCTAACATTAATAGTTTGGGAGATAATTAAATTTTTTTTTTAAAAAGGCACACAACACATATCAATGTTTAACCTTAGTGTACCACTTGTTTACGTCACTTGATGCGTGTAAGCTAATAATTATCTGTTAGGTCCCTTCATATTAGTACTGAAAAGAATTAAAATCGATAACAATAACGAAAATAATATTTACACAAATCTTCCCATCTTCTTTAGTAGTTCGAATTTTTTGGTCAGTTTAAACATTCCGCAAGTTCTACTAAGAACTTTGCCGCACTTTCCGAGCATAAAACATAAATTCAAGATTTCTTCATGTGTACAAACATTATTAACATCCATTCTAACGGGTTTTAGACTTACAAGGTCAACGTACAGGTCAACTTACAACGTATGTTTTTCATGGCACACTAGGTCAATATCAATATTTTGTGTACATTTTTCAGAAAACCCTAATTATTTCCCAAACTATTAATGTTAAGTATAGGACATATCGGATATAAAACATGTAAAATGAGAGGCCGAAGACGACTAAGTAATAAAATATGGAGGGTACCATTTAAAAAAATTAAGTTATGGTACTTCCAAATTTCGAAAAGTTTATGTGCCATGGTAAAGTAACCAAATGATCTAGACAGCCGTTCTCGGCACCAAAACATACTCCATCATATTGATTAATCATGTTCTGAATTCTAAATTGATATCCAAAACATCAAGTGTTTTCTGATTTTTTGAACAAATGTCTGCTAGAGCAGATTTTTTTAGGAAAAATCATATAACTCGAGAACGGCCGAATCTAATTGCAAAAAGTGAAGTTATTCATAATCCTTGAAAATAGACAAAACCAAATATGTGAAAATATACAAGGTGGTTCAGTTTTTAATAGGGAAATTTTACTAGGATGTAGTACTTGCTAAAATAACATAATTTTTTTATATAAACATAGGGTCGCAACTCTTTTGTTTTCGAGTTATGAGCGATCAAAGTTGAGCCAAAAATTTACATTTTGTAGTGTATTTCAGTTGTAACTAAACCGTAGAATTTGAAACTTTGTACTTATGTACTACTGGTTAACACCTTATTTTCTAATATACCTTAAACTTCCCCAGCACCCTCTAAGGGGATGAAATTCACCACCCCCTTGATTTTTTTATAAGAACTTTTTAACGCTATGGAATATTAATATAAAAAAATATGGGTTGTAAAGCTTATTCTTTAATGGCACTTGTTTGTCTCTTTAATATTTTCCTTAAAGTTAATAGTTTCCGTGTAAAAAAATAAAATATCGTGCCATGTACCGCTATGTGTCGCCATGTTTATCTAAAATTATTGTAAAAGTTGTCTCTGAGAACTTGTAAGTTTCATTTACAGTGAATCCTCATAATTGTTAATGATAATTAATAATTTTTGACTGTTATTAAGCAACAGTATCAATTTTTTAATATTGTTTAAAACAACGTAATTTGTTCAGACAGGCATTAATCTTATTTATGGTTTTTCTTATGAAAATCTCAATTAATTGGTGTTATTTAATTAGTACTAGATCCTAGTAAGTGCATTACTTCCATAGCCAGATATAAAGAGAATTTTTTTTTAATAATAGCAGCACTTTACAGTACAATGTAGCATATTTTTTACGCTAAAACTATTATCTTTTAGGAAAAAGCTAAAGAGACAAAAAAGTACTAATAATAGCTTTGTTCGTTGGGACTGCACTACTCTGCACGACATGGCACTCGTATGACGTCATAGTGCAATGAAGTGTAAGTCAGTGCAATGTCATGTCAACTTAGTGCAGGTCAGAAAAGTGTATAAACCGTGGTCGCAACGAACAGATTTTTACAAAAAAAGTGTTTAATATTTGAAATGGTCGAACAGGAGATTGTCAGCGAAATACTCGTGAAAAATGAAATCACTGGAGAATGTCTTTTTAGTAGCGATTCATCAATTACTATTATATTGTTATTATTTTTTTCAATTATTAGCGAAATATATTTTCTACCCCAAACTACTAACCCTTATTAGTTCTTTCAAAAGTACTACTTAACGTATAAAGAAATCACACGCTAAATTGCACCAAAATCGATAAGCAATACTTGAAAAAAAAAATTGGGGTGGTGAGGGTAGTTAACCCCCGCCACCCCTAAATGAGAAAAAACACATAATTAATATTTTTAAATGTACTATAAGTGTATTTAATGAAGCCAAAATCGACAGGGTAGTTTTTAAATTATTCCAAAAAAGTAGGGGTAGTTTTCTACTGCCTCTACTGGGCTTGAATATACTGTGTTCTCTAATACAACAAATATTAATTATTACAAAACACACTTTCAAATATTCCGCCATTTTAGTTACACTGCATTAAACTGCACTTATTGAACTTAATCGAAAGCAGGTGAACAAAAACCTGCACTAACTTGCACCGGCTGCACTAAATTGTACTGTACATAGCCCAACGAACAGTATGAGTGCAACTGCACTATCCCCAACGAACACACAACATCTACACTAAACTGCTTAATGCAAGTGAGTGCAAGTAGTGCAGTCGCAACGAACAAAGCTAATGAATAAGTTTTACAACCCATATTTTTTTGTGTTAATATTCCATGGCGTTAAAAAGTTGTAATAAAAAAATCAAAGGGGTTGTGAATTTCATCCCCTTAGAAGGGAATCCCCTAGGGAATTTTAATGTATGGTCAAATTAAGGTATTAACCAGTAGTACATACAAAATACTACTGAAAATAATACATACAAAATTTCAAATTCTTCGGTTTACTTATACCCGAAATAAAAGATAAAATGTAAATTTTTGGTTCAACTTTGACAGCTCATAGCTCGAAAACAAAAGAGTTGCGAACCCCAGAAACGTCTAATGAATGGTCTCGCTAAGACATCCTGTATAATTTGATATATTGATGTGATGTCAAATTAAACCACCTAATATTTTGTTTATTCATATGTTGCCTTTTTGTTTCATTATATACTAATACTTTGCCATTTTATTTTTTCATCATTAATGGGTTTTCTTATTTATTTATTTTTTTTATTTTCTTGCGCTTGCTCTGTGTTTAATGTTCACTTGTTTGTTGTTTTGTGTCAGTCGTACTCGTGGAGTGGTTCGCAGCAGCGTTTGGCCAGTAGAGAACCTTGCCGCGTAAGTATTTTTATTGGTAACAGGGGCTTACACGCCGTCTTTATCTTAATTTACATTATCATAATTAAAAAAAGAATTATTCATTTGCTACTAATATAAATCGATGTATTTATTTTAATTTTTGTTATAAATAAGTAATTTAAAATATAATAATTATCGATTATTATAATTAATTGTTTTTCTTTTGATCTTATAGGACATAAATGAAATAATAAGCTGTTGTGCTAGTACAACATGGCAAGAACGCAAAGAAGGATTAGTTTCACTCCGTTATTATTTAACATCAGGAACATTGCTATCTCACGGCGAATTACTACACATAACGGAAATTTTTACACGTATGTTTATGGATTCTCATACGAAAGGAATAAGTGTATTTCTCGATACTCTCAATGAAATCATTCGAAGACACAACACGGATTTACACGACTGGCTGTACGTTTTATTACATCGTATTTTTAACAAACTTGGTAGCGATTTACTCACATCCGCGCACACAAAGCTTTTGAATACTCTCGACGAGATCCGAAGTCATTTTCCGATCCCGTTACAATTAACCAGCGTATATCGTTTTTTAGTAGACGCAACTCAAACACCGAATGCTAAAACCAAAGTGGCTGTTTTAAATTATTTGTCGTCGTTGTGTCGGGTAATGGAAACGAGTCAATTTGTAACGAAACCGCCGGCAAACGCTGCGTTACAAAAAATTTTGATTTATAGTCAAGATAGTAAATCGGTTCCCATTAGAAACGCCGCGACGATGTGTATAATAGCCATGTGGAATTGTAACACGTCGCAAGTTACAATGTTACTGACGGAATTACCGAAAGAGTTGCAAGAAATTGCTTCGAATATTGTTCATAATCATATGACGAGAAGCACGATAAAAAGCGAACCGGGAAGTCCTTTGGTTACACCGCCGAGAAATGACGAATTTAATCAGGAAGAAATTTATAGGAGTTTAAGAAAAACCACCGCCGAAATACAAAATTATACTTATGAAACGTCAGGTTCGCAATTGGATAGGGAAAAAGATACAACGTCTCAAGATTCGGGAATTTCTCAAATGAGTATTGGAAATGATGTGAAAGCTGATGTGACATTGGAAGAACAAGCTAGTCTTTCATCTAGCAATTCAACTATTGTTAATGGTTACAACAACATAGGTTTGTTTATTTTTTTTTAACTCTTAATAATTTATTAGGTATTAAGATATTTAACTTAAGCATTTTGATACATTTTTTTTTTGATTTAATTACATATCTTGTATTAGTTGAAGTTGAATCCCTGAAACAAATTTTCTATTAATTTTGGAATTAAATTTGTTTATCCTTGTTGTAGGCTCTGCTTCCAAAGGATTTTATTTACAAAACTTCTCTCAATTATATGATTGATTGCCTACAATTCCAAACATCCCCATTTTTGAGTCCACAAATCCATATCGTTCACAAATCTTTTTTAACTGATCTGTTACCCATTGAAAATCACACCACGCTAATAAGCCTGAACACATTCTCAATAAATTTACTGATTTCCATCAAAATAAAAGATATTATACAGGGTGTGTCAAATGGGTGGAATTATGTATAGCCAATAACTTCGTCATTTGTGGTTTTAAAGAAAAATGTTGCAAATAAAAAATTCTTTGTTAATTGTGGTGCATGTTTTGGAAATGTTTCCTTGTTTACATTGTTTTCTGTTTCGTTGCTATGGCAACCAAAATTGTTATTTTAAATGGGATGCATATGTTTATTTTACATATTTTGATACAGAATAAATCCCTCTACGCGATCAACATATCAAATCATATGATTGTATAAGAAAAAAATCGAGATAAATGCGTTCTTTAAAAATATAAAAAATCAGCAAATTATAATCAAAGTAGGCGCCGAAATAACGCCGTTGACAGCTTTAAATATCAAAAAATTGACATATTTTCAATGAAATAAAACTAAAACTAACACTAGACCTAGAACTAGAAAGATTCGGTTTTAGCCGTCTTAAGAGACGTGTGGTAAATCCGAATGTTTCTAGTTCGAGAAACCTGTAGTTTTGAAAAGAGATACACGAGATATTCCAATTTAAATGTCCTGACAATAACAAACCTAACTTACAAATGTGACAGTTGGTTTATTCTAACCTATACATGATGCGACGCTAGAGTGAGAAAAAAGAAGGTGCCGATACGAAGCGTCGCATATTGTTTACTCTTTAATCTTTGTTAATATTGAAGATAAATATGTCGTGTTTCACTTCAAAGGATTTTTAATGAAGATTACAAATTATTATTATATAATAGACAGATGGACAACTTCACGGTGTTCTTTCATGATATATTTTTTATTAAAAAAAATTTAAAATTTGTCCAAACATGATGCATTTATCTCAAAAAACCTAAAAGTTTGAACTTTTAATTTTGACAAATGTATGTATTTGTCAACTTCATAAAAAATCCTTTAAAATGAGTCCAAACTCGACGTATTTAACTTTATTATTAATGGAAATACAATCACTTCCGGTTTGAAACGTCAACGTCAATTTTGACATATTTATCATCTTCATTAAAAAACCTTTAAAATGAGCCCAAAGATGACGCACTTATCTCAAAAAACAAAAAAGATAGAATAAAAAACATTAAACCCTAAGTTAGCAACAATAAACAGCAATTTAATTTTTAAATATTAATAGCAACCTCAATTTTTTTTTATTAATTTTTGTTTTAGTGATAAATATTAAAATATTTTACAAAAATCAAGAATATGTCAAAATGACATTGACATTTCAAGCCGGAAGTTGCTTATATCTCAAGTAATATTAAAATTAAACGTATCATGTTTAGGCTCATTTTAAAGGATTTGTCATGACGATTACAAATATGTCAAAATTGACGTTGACGTTCTTAACCGGAAGTTGACCATAACTTCATTAACATTGAAGATAAATATGTCGTGTTTGTACTCATTTTAAAGGATTTTTAATGAAGATTACAAATATGTTCTTTCATGATGTATTTTCTATTAAAATATCTTTAAAATGTGTCCAAACATGTTGCATTTATCTCAAAAAACCTAAAAGTTTGAACTTTTAATTTTGACATATTTGTCAACTTCATAAAAAATCCTTTAAAATGAGTTCAAACTCGACATATTAACTTTAATGTTAATGGAAATACAATCACTTCCGGTTTGAAACGTCAACGTCAATTTTGACGTATTTATCATCTTCATTAAAAAACCTTTAAAATGAGCCCACAGATGACACACTTATCTCAAAAAACAAAGAAGATAGAATAAAAAACAATAAACTCGAAGTTAGCAACAATGAAGATAGCAATTTAATTTTTAAATATTAATACCAACCTCAATTTTTTTTTATTATATTTTTGTTTTAGTGACAAATATTGAGACATTTTATAAAAATTAAAAATATGTCAAAATGACATTGACATTTCAGGCCGGGAGTTGCTTATATCTCAAGTAATATTAAAATTAAACGTATCATGTTTAGGCTCATTTTAAAGGATTTGTCATGATGATTACAAATATGTCAAAATTGACGTTGACGTTCTTAACCGGAAGTTGACCATAACTTCATTAATATTGAAGATAAATATGTCGTGTTTGTACTCATTTTAAAGGATTTTTAATGAAGATTACAAATATGTTCTTTCATGATGTATTTTCTATTAAAATATCTTTAAAATGTGTCCAAACATGTTGCATTTATCTCAAAAAACCTAAAAGTTTGAACTTTTAATTTTGACATATTTGTCAACTTCATAAAAAATCCTTTAAAATGAGTCCAAACTCGACATATTAACTTTAATGTTAATGGAAATACAATCACTTCCGGTTTGAAACGTCAACGTCAATTTTGACATATTTATCATCTTCATTAAAAAAACCTTTAAAATGAGCCCAAAGATGACACACTTATCTCAAAAAACAAAGAAGATAGAATAAAAAACAATAAACTCGAAGTTAGCAACAATGAACATAGCAATTTAATTTTTAAATATTAATACCAACCTCAATTTTTTTTTATTATATTTTTGTTTTAGTGACAAATATTGAGACATTTTATAAAAATTAAAAATATGTCAAAATGACATTGACATTTCAGGCCGGGAGTTGCTTATATCTCAAGTAATATTAAAATTAAACGTATCATGTTTAGGCTCATTTTAAAGGATTTGTCATGATGATTACAAATATGTCAAAATTGACGTTGACGTTTTTAACCGAAAGTTGTTCATAACTTCATTAATATTGAAGATAAATATGTCGTGTTTGTACTCATTTTAAAGGATTTTTAATGAAGATTACAAATATGTTCTTTCATGATGTATTTTCTATTAAAATATCTTTAAAATGTGTCCAAACATGTTGCATTTATCTCAAAAAACCTAAAAGTTTGAACTTTTAATTTTGACATATTTGTCAACTTCATAAAAAATCCTTTAAAATGAGTCCAAACTCGACATATTAACTTTAATGTTAATGGAAATACAATCACTTCCGGTTTGAAACGTCAACGTCAATTTTGACATATTTATCATCTTCATTAAAAAAACCTTTAAAATGAGCCCAAAGATGACACACTTATCTCAAAAAACAAAGAAGATAGAATAAAAAACAATAAACTCGAAGTTAGCAACAATGAACATAGCAATTTAATTTTTAAATATTAATACCAACCTCAATTTTTTTTTATTATATTTTTGTTTTAGTGACAAATATTGAGACATTTTATAAAAATTAAAAATATGTCAAAATGACATTGACATTTCAGGCCGGGAGTTGCTTATATCTCAAGTAATATTAAAATTAAACGTATCATGTTTAGGCTCATTTTAAAGGATTTGTCATGATGATTACAAATATGTCAAAATTGACGTTGACGTTTTTAACCGAAAGTTGTCCATAACTTCATTAATATTGAAGATAAATATGTCGTGTTTATACGCATTTTAAAGGATTTTTAATGAAGATTATAAATATGTTCTTTCATGATGTATTTTCTATTAAAATATCTTTAAAATGTGTCCAAACATGTTGCATTTATGTCAAAAAACCTAAAAGTTTGAACTTTTAATTTTGACATATTTGTCAACTTCATAAAAAAATCCTTTAAAATGAGTCCAAACTCGACATATTTAACTTTAATATTAATGGAAATACAATCACTTCCGGTTTGAAACGTCAACGTCAATTTTGACATATTTGTCATCTTCATTAAAAAACCTTTAAAATGAGTCCAAAGATGACGCACTTATCTCAAAAAACAAAAAAGTTAGAATAAAAAACATTAAACCCGAAGTTAGCAACAATGAAGATAGCAATTTAATTTTTAAATATTAATACCAACCTTAATTTTTTATTTTTTTTTATTATATTTTTGTTTTTGTGACAAATATTAAGACATTTTATAAAAATTAAGAATATGTCAAAATGACATTGACATTTCAAACCGGAAGTTGCTTATATCTCGAGTAATATTGGAATTAAACGTATCATGTTTGGACTCATTTTAAAGGATTTTTCACGACGATTACAAATATGTCAAAATTGACGTTGACATTCTTAACCGGAAGTTGACCATAACTTCATTAATATTGAAGATAAATATGTCGTGTTTGTACTCATTTTAAAGGATTTTTAATGAAGATTACAAACATGTCAAAATTGAGGTTGACATTTTAAACCTGAAGTAGTTATCATATAATAAACAAATGGACAACTTCATGGTGTTCTTTCATGATGTATTCTTTATTAAAAAAGAACTTTTAAAATGAGTCTAAACATGATGCATTTATCTCGAAAAATAACAGTTGTAATAAAAAATATTAAAGTTGGCAACATAATTTTTAAATATTAATACCAACCTTAATTTTTCATTTTTTTTTAATTGTATTTTTGCTTTTCTGACAAATTTTAAGACATTTTATAAACATTAGGAATATATCAAAATGACATTGACATTTCAAACCGGAAGTTGCTTATATTGAAATTAAACGTATCATGTTTGGTCTTATTTTAAAGGATATTTCATGACGATTACAAATATGTCAAAATTGAGGTTGACATTTTTAACCGAAAGTTAACCATAACTTCATTAATATTGAAGATAAATATGTCGTGTTTGTACTCATTTTAAAGGATTTTTAATGAAGATTCGAAATATGTCAAAATTGAGGTTGACATTTTAAACCTGAAGTTAGTTATCATATAATAAACAAAATGGACAACTTCATGGTGTTGTTTCATAATGTATTCTTTATTAAAAAAGAACTTTTAATATGAGTCTAAACATGATACATTTATCTCGAAAAATAACAGTTGTAATACAAAATATTAAAGTTGGTAACATAATTTTTAAATATTAATACCAACCTTAATTTTTCATTTTTTTATTGTATTTTTGCTTTTGTGACAAATTTTAAAACATTTTATAAACATTAAGAATATATCAAAATGACATTGACATTTCAAACCGGAAGTTGCTTATATTGCAATTAAACGTATCATGTTTGGGCTCATTTTAAAGGATATTTCATGACGATTACAAATATGTCAAAATTGAGGTTGACATTTTTAACCGAAAGTTGACCATAACTTCATTAATATTGAAGATAAATATGTTGTGTTTGTACTCATTTTAAAGGATTTTTAATGAAGATTACAAACATGTCAAAATTGAGGTTGACATTTTAAACCTGAAGTAGTTATCATATAATAAACAAATGGACAACTTCATGGTGTTCTTTCATGATGTATTCTTTATTAAAAAAGAACTTTTAAAATGAGTCTAAACATGATGCATTTATCTCGAAAAATAACAGTTGTAATAAAAAATATTAAAGTTGGCAACATAATTTTTAAATATTAATACCAACCTTAATTTTTCATTTTTTTTTGATTGTATTTTTGCTTTTGTGACAAATTTTAAAACATTTTATAAACATTAAGAATTTATCAAAATGACATTGACATTTCAAACCGGAAGTTGCTTATATCTCGAGTAATATTGAAATTAAACGTATCATGTTTGGGCTCATTTTAAAGGATTTTTGATAACGATTACAAATATGTCAAAATTGAGGTTGACATTTCCAACCGGTTGACCATAACTTCATTAATATCAAAGATTAAAGAGTAAACAAGATGCGCTGCGAGAGTGAGAAAGTAGTTTTGATAAGAGATAGAAGACATCTCAAATGAAATTTATTTAGCGGTCAAGGTCATAAAAAATCGCAGCCCTACATCAAAGGTGCCGACATAAAGCGTCGCATCTTGTTTACTTTTTGATCTTTGATTATACCTAGACCTAGACTCATTTTTGCCGTCTTAAGAGACGTGCGGCTAAACCCGAAACTTTCTAGTTCTAGGTCTTGTGTTAGTTCTAGTGATAGTGTAAAACTAGAACTAACAGTATACCTAGAACTAAAAATATTCCGGTTTATCCTTGCTTCTGAAGAACTAGAACTAACACTAGATCTGTTACTAGAACTATCACTATACATAATATGTAGTCAGTTTTTTTATTAGAGCTTCTGTCAATTTTCCTTTCCTTCCAACCTTGTGTGTTTTCCTTATGTTTCAGAGTTGAGAGTCCATTCTCTTTTCAACATGTCCAATACATTCATTTTTGGTTACTTGTAGGAATTCTAGGAATATTTTGAGAGAAACACATTCTTAAGATATTTAAGAACCTTTTTATGAAAAAAAATGTTTAAGGTTCTAAATGTATTTTCCCCTTTAAGCCCATGGAAGCACTTATTGGCTTGTATTTAATAAAGATTATCATCTCCTCATTAAAATCTATTTATCATTAAAATTATGTATTATATTATTGCAGTAATTGTTGGTACTCTGTAATCATACAAGGTAATTCGTTTAATTTACATGGGAAACAAGCTAACAATAACAAAAATATTTGGCGGGGTTTTAATTCACAATTTTAACGCTAAATTTTAATCGTTTATATCTAAACCATTTTTATGTGTTAGCTCTCTTATCAAACATCTTTATATAAACTTAAAATTTTTTTACACTTCAAAAAAGCATATTTTAATGCATTTCTCTTTATTTTTTTAGATGAATCAAATGGAGAAGTTCTTGTTCAAAGAGTATTGGAACATTGTGTAGTTGACAAACCAACTCCTATAGCTGATAAACGGGTGTATTTAAGCAAGCTAGCAGAACTGATTAAAAATGGAGAAACGGAACATGTTATATTAAACTTTAAGTATGTTTTTATTGCAACTTTTTAACGCAATTTAATTTTTTTAAATTTATTTTTAAGGAAACTTTTAAGGCTGTTGATCGATAATTTAGAAAGGAAAGATCCCCAAACGCAAGTTATTGTACTTCGAACTATGACGGAAATCTTTAATAACCCCTCTATGAAACCTTGTTGGTCAAATTTCGTTGAATTATTAACGTTGCGCGTTCTTACGGCGCACTGTGATGACCGACGAGAGGTATTTTAATTACTTATTAGATTAATTATGTTTCTTGAGTAATTTTATTAAATCAGGTATCAAAAGAAGCTGAAGTAACAGCCGCTGCGATGAGTGTTTTTCCATTTAATCTAGTCGTAGGTGTACTAACGCCATTAATCCAAACTTCCACTTACCCAAAGCTTCAAGGAGCCATCAAAATGTTAATTAAACTAATTGAGACGCATGGAAATGAAATTACCGACGAACACTTACTTCAAATAATGCCAGGATTAGTTAAGGTAAAATAATAATTTTTAATAGCGCTTTATTAATTTTATAGCTATGATTTTTTAGACAAATGATCATGAAGAAAGTACAGTTCGTAAAAGCGCTGTATTTTGTATGGTAGCACTTCATAAAGCTGTAGGTGAAGAAAGATTGGCGCCCCATATTGCAAAATTACCTGGAAGTAAATTAAAACTGTTAAGGTTGTATATTGGTAGAACGCAGCCATCGTCTAGCGTGCCTACCAGTCCGAAGAATTCCGCAACAACCAGCTAGTCGAAGGTGAAAACTGTACGAAATAAACGAGTGAACACCATCATAACCTCCAGTGACCTAGACATATTGTTGGACGAAAGAAAACGGAAGGAATAGGAAACAACGCGTGTTTTTATTTCTCTCTACTGCTATCGTTCTACATATATATAAGTGCCTATTTTCTTTTTTATAATTAACCTTTCCATTTTGTTAACTATTTGATTTTTTTTGTATCTTTTCTGTTTTTTTTGATATATTAACTTAAGTCTAAAAATGAAACTACTCATTGTTATTTATTCCTTATCTTTACAAATTTTAATGTTAAGTGAAAGTTTTGTCCCAAAATTATTAGTATTGATACTTACGCCTGTTTCAAGTTTTTTTCTACATGTAATACTTCAATATTAATTGTGATATTGTATATCAGAGATAAAATACGATCGGTTGAATGAATTGAAAATAAATAATAATGCAAATTAAAAACGGAAAGTAACAGTGAATTTTGTTGAATATTATTTTTAACTGTATATATTATTATTTGTTATTTATGCATATTGAAAAAAGAAAATGCTACAAAAAAAAAAGAATAATATTCGCAGTGTTCAATTTTACATTTAACTCTTTTCAATGTTAATTTTTAAATTACCAATAAATAACGTTCGCTTATAAAAAAAACATTTCTTTTATAACTAATTTTATGGATCACATCATTTCTAACAGAAAAAAAATTACTGATTCACTAATAAATCTAGTCTGTACGATGAAATACAGCTTTGAAAAGACAGAAGAAATCTGTATAAAAGAGGTAGATAGAATTTTTTGAGAGTAAAATAGCTTTTCGAAATATTTTGTATGCCAAAACAAAAAGAATAAATATTTAAACAAAAAATGTTATATTTACTACGTACACTTAAACTGTGCTATATGTTTTTATTATTATTATTATTATCAAATATTAAAGCTGTATATAATGTAGTTTACTTAACTATACAAAATCATCATAGGTTTGTTAATGAGAATAAATGCATTTTTTTGTCAGAAACTTTTGCTTATTATTAAATGTTTAACGTTACAAATGAAAAGAGAGCGTGCTAAAACTATCATTATTACTCTTTGTGTAATTATAGATATTGTAATAAAGAAGTTTATAAATATTTTTTTAATATTTTTATTTCTCAAACACAGACACATAAGTTTCCGCTGTCAGTTAATACTCGTGTTTAAACTTGTTTTTCTTTTTTTACATACTTTCTATTCTACTCAACACGTAGCCATTTATTTTTTTTAATATTCAGTATATAAAATTCAATTAAAGATGTTTAAGCAAGATCTTAGAAGAAGGGCAAAGAAAAGGGTGTTTTAAGCAAAACGCGTCTTAAGTTTTTGCTCAATCACACTGACTTTATTTTTCATATTTAAGAAATAAGTAATACATCAAATTAAATGGCAGAAATTACTGTTTTAAGACAACATACTAGTCATTATGGCACTATAGTCACTTTATGATTTATTACTAGGGCACGGAACTTTTGTAACCGAACGATACAATTTACCCCCTCCACTTTGTTCTCCTAGAAAATAAGTCGGTGGCGTCAAGTCAACTCACCTCATCGGTTGTTGTTGACGACCGACAATCGGTTTATTAGACGTCAGTGTCAACTGTCAGTACGATTTGAAAATATTAAAAAAAAATATATTTTATAACTTTAATTCAAACAAACAGGATCCGATTTGTAATATCAATCACAAATCGGATACGGATATAAAAATATTGCTGTTAACCTGTATTGAAACAACCATCCCTAAATTTTCATCTATAAATGACGTTCTAGTTGACGTTAAAATGTGTTTGTACCTAGAAAATGATCTTTCAACATCACAACTTGTAAGTGGAGCATAAATAAAATACTGAGCTATTGAACCATATTTTTCCTTAAGAGTTAAAGGTATTGTTTTCGACAATTTGTTGAACAATTCTCAAATCCGAACAACAATTTTACCACAAAAGGAAAATAAAAACAATTCTTTAAAAAAAAAAACTATAATACGAACTCAAACAGAACTCCAAATTCCAATTAAAGGTAACTAAAGAAAGATAAATAGCAAATTTGACGAAATTATGCGGATGAAAAGCGTCGAATACTGCACATTTGAACAACAGTGAAATCGTACTGACAGTTGACAATGTTGACATTGATGCGCAATAAACCGATCGTCGGTCGTCAATAACAACCGATCAGGTGAGTTGACTTGACGCCACCGACTCATTTTCTAGGAGAACAAGTGGAGGGGGTAAATCGTATCGTACCGTTACAAAAGTTCCGGGCCCTATTTATTACATTGAATCTGTCTATATTAAATGGATCATTTGTTGAGGTTCATCAGGATCTTCAACTACTTCAAGAATGTCAACAGGTGGGCATAGAATGTCTTTTGATTCTTCTTTATAGTATTTCTTTATATTTTTGTAAAGATACTGCTTTCTTTCTTTAGTCATTCCTAAAAAAAATTTAATTAAAATGATTATGAGGAGAAAATTAGTTTTTGAATACTAATCAATTTAACTTAACTGGTGGTGTTATTTCTTTTGGAAATTTAGATGAGAAAATTTTAAAAACAAAGTATGCATAGTACTTTTCCTTTGTACTTCATTGAACTGAAATTGGTTGTACAGGGTGTCCCAATTTCGATGTCCGCATAGGCTATCTCCGAAACTAAAAGAGATAGAAAAAAAGTAGCTTACATGTCATGATCTCGTTTTTCGAGAAAATGCTAATGCCGAAAACTCCGAACAGCTATCGTCTTTTGTTTTCGCCCTATCGGCAAAAACTGAAAATTTTGCGAAAACGACAATCGCGAATATCTCACTTATTATCAAAGATGGAGTATTATAAATAAAACATTATATGGGCAACTTTTTACGAAGAATTCAGTGGCGTAGGTAGAATTTTTTTCCCATCTTTTATTTTCGAGATTTTAGACGTAACTTTATTTTTTTAAATGGAAACCATAGTTGGCTATGACTTAAAATAATTTGTTATTTTCTTCTGATAACAAATATATATAGTTTGTGGGGTATATTTCTTATAGTTATTGAATAATTAACAAAAATTCATTTTGTTCCATCTAAATCTAATGTATGTATTTAAAAGTTAATGTTGCTATGGTGATAACCATACATACTATGATGGAATATAATGTATCAATTTTTTTTGTTCTTTCTAAAACTATTGTATGTATTTAAAACTTAATGTTGTTATGGTGATAACCATACCATGAGGGAAAGCATTGTTTCCAATTATTGCCAAAGTTTGTAGCAAGGACAGTAGAATCTAACAGGACTGCTACATCCATTGTATTTTTGTAGTCGACTACGGGTTGGTTGCCCGCACTCTACGTCACACTATTTGCCACGCCTGATAACTGTCTATGTTTTTAGAGGTTATATGATAGACATTAATACGTCTAAAAACATAAAACTTCAAAACTAATATGAATACGTCTAGGATATAACCTCTAAAAACACACAGCAAACGCATAGACCATAACAACAGCTGGGCGTGGAAAATGGTGTGACGTAGTTTGCGGGTAGGCTGTCACAACAATGGATGTAGCAGTCCTGTTAGATTCTACTGTCCTTGAGTTTGTAGTAGTATTTAAAAATTCACTAACAACTCTGGCATTATGTGCTGGTGCTCCGTCATATTGAAAATATATCATTTGAGACATATTTAGTGGCAAATTGTCGACCAAAGGCTCAATGTGCTGCCTTAATATATTGAGGTATTTCCCTGAGTTTAAGTTTTTATGGTAGATACTATATGCCAAAATTCTATTATCTAAAAGGGCACACCATACATTGAACCCCAATCTTCTTTGAACACTCAGAGACTTCATCGGTCCAGATAACATTTTGAACAAACAGCAGATTATTTAATTTTTTTAAATATCATCTACAAAATTCTAATCTTCGATTGACATCTCCGGCACGTAAATAATGAGTTAGCCCCGCTTTGTATGGTTTATACTTATTTTTCTTTCATATTCGGGAGCAGCGGCTTTTGGGTCAGACGTCTTGTTGCAATTTCTCTTGCAGGTCATTTTGGTATGTTTTTGTATGTGGTTTGGGGAAGGACCAAATATCTATTAAATTTTCTGCTAACCGGCTGAAGGTTCTTACGTGCGGTTGTCTTCTTTCTGGATATCTTGTGAAATAAAATTCCGCGGCTAACGTCGCATTCTTATCTGATAACATATAGCATTCCATCATGTTACATTTTTCATAATTTTCGAAATTCATTGTAAAGTTTTATTCAGTTTTGTTATACTTTGACACTTAACATGCTGGTGCATCGTACCAGCACATAATGCCAGAGTTGTTATCGAATTTTTAAATACAAACTTTGGCAATTATTTGATACATTATGTTCCATCATAGTATGTATGGTTATCACCATAGCAACATTAACTTTTAAATACATACATTAGTTTTAGATAGAACAAAATGAATTTTTGTTAATTATTCAATAACTATAAGAAATATACCCCACAAACTATATATATTTGTTATCAGAAGAAAATAACAAATTATTTTAGGTCATAGCCAACTATGGTTTCCATTTAAAAAAATAAAGTTACGTCTAAAATCTCGAAAATAAAAGATGGGAAAAAAATTCTACCTACGCCACTGAATTCTTCGTAAAAAGTTGCCCATATAATGTTTTATTTATAATACACTATCTTTGATAATAAGTGAAATATTCGCGATTGTCGTTTTTGCAAAATTTTCAGTTTTTGCCGATAGGGCGAAAACAAAAGACGATAGCTGTTCGGAGTTTTCGGCATTAGCATTTTCTCGAAAAACGAGATCATGACATGTAAGCTACTTTTTTTCTATCTCTTTTAGTTTTGGAGATAGCCTATGCGGACATCGAAATTGGGACACCCTGTACTGAGTGATGAGAGGTAAGTATTTTCTTGGATTTAAAATCCTTAAAAAAGTTAAGCCTGGATCTTAACATCGTCCTTTTCATTTCCAACGGACACAGCAGAGTTTACTTCAGAAGTTGGCATAAACTGAAATGCGCAATCAATCAGTTCTTGGATAGAAGAAATGTACATTGTTCTGAACTTCTTTTTAAATAGAATGGCCAGTCACAAGAAAATTTAGTGTACCCTACAGGCATGAAAGACAAAAATATCATTTTGTTTTTATTATTACTTATTCTCCACGCCAAGTAGCCAAGCAAAATATTATTTTTATTTTGCCCGACACAATTGTCAGCATGAATGTACTCCCTTACTATTTTGCTCCAAGTAATGGTGAAATAGGCTTGTAATAAGGTTTGAACCTTTAGTAGAGCTTACACTTTCTGGGATGAGGTAGTTTACCTGTTTATTATTTGAATTAAATAGATCCATATTGCAAGTTATTAACATTTGCAAAATCCTTAAAATACATGAATAAAATGTTTTAAAGTGACAAATTAAAAGAGAAGGAGCCCAAATCCCTTCTCTTTTAACTTGTCACTTTATAAATATTTTAACTCTTGTTGTTCGTACGTTTGATGTGTCGTTTATTGTTAATTATAAATAGTAAACATTTTATTTATGTATTTTAAGGATTTTGCAATGTTTCAAAAATCAATGTTCCTGTTTTAATAGTGATTTTGACAATTCGGCTGAGGATGAGCTTAATGGCTCGAAACTAGTACCGTATAAATTAAAATTCTAGCAAGTAAGAAGTTTTTTATTTTTCTTTCTTATAATGTTTATTATTTGTTTAAACATTCCGGTTTAGCCTTGCGTCTGGGGAACTAAAACTAGAACTAAGACTAGAACTAGAAAGTTCGGGTTTAGCCGTGAATCTGCAAACGTACGACAAAACGTGAATGTTTCTAGTTTTAGGTCTAGTGTTAGTTCTAATTTTACACTAGCACTGTTACTAGAACTAACACTAACCTAGAACTGGAATCATTCGGGTTTAGCCGTCTTGACAGACGTGCGGCTAAACCCGAATGTTTCTAGTTCTAGATATAGTGTTAGTTCTACTTTTAGACTAACATTGTTACTAGAACTAACATTGTTACTAGAACTAATACTATATCTGCAGGTTTCTGCCCAGCAACATACCCAGCGCCAGGTTGCTGCATATTTTCAATGAAATAAAACTAGAACTAACACTAGACCTAGAACTAGAAAGTTTCGGGTTTAGCCGTGCATCTGCAAACGTACGACAAAACCTGAATGTTTCTAGTTTTAGGTCTAGTGTTAGTTCTGCTTTTAAACTAGCACTGTTACTAGAACTAACACTAACCTAGAACTAGAATCATTCGGGTTTAGCCGTCTTGACAGACGTGCGGCTAAACCCGAATGTTTCTAGTTCTAGGTATAGTGTTAGTTCTACTTTTAGACTAACATTGTTACTAGAACTAACACTATACCTAGAACTAGAATCATTCGGGTTTAGCCGTCTTGAGAGACGTGCGGCTAAACCCGAATGTTTCTAGTTCTACTTTTAGACTAACATTGTTACTAGAACTAACATTGTTACTAGAACTAATACTATACCTGCAGGTTTCTGCCCAGCAACTTACCCAGCGCCAGGTTGCTGTATATTTTTAATGAAATAAAACTAGAACTAACACTAGACCTAGAACTAGAAAGTTTCGGGTTTAGCCGTTCATCTGCAAACGTACGACAAAACCTGAATGTTTCCAGTTTTAGGTCTGGTGTTAGTTCTAGTTTTACACTAGCACTGTTACTAGAACTAACACTAACCTAGAACTAGAATCATTCGGGTTTAGCCGTCTTAACAGACGTGCGGCTAAACCCGAATGTTTCTAGTTCTAGGTATAGTGTTAGTTCTAGTTTTAGACTAACATTGTTACTAGAACTAACACTATACCTAGAATTAGAATCATTCGGGTTTAGCCGTCTTGAGAGACGTGCGGCTAAACCCGAATGTTTCTAGTTCTAGGTATAGTGTTAGTTCTAGTTTTACACTAACATTGTTACTAGAACTAATACTATACCTGCAGGTTTCTGCCCAGCAACTCACCCAGCGCCAGGTTGCTGCATATTTTCAATGAAATAAAACTAGAAGACTAGTCTGAAGACGCACGGCTAAACCCGAAACTTTCTAGTTCTAGTGTTAGTTCTAGTTTTACTAGTTATTGTTGTATATTTTTATTGAACTAAGAGTAGAACTAATACTAAACCTAAAACTAGAAACAATCGGGTTTAGCCGTCTTGAAAGACGAACGGCTAAACCCGAAAGTTTCTAATTTTAGGTCTATTCTTAGTTATAGTGCTAGTTTTAGTTCTAGTTTCATTTCTATTAACTTCTTAATACCGATAAACAAAATTGTTTATTTTTTTAATACTCAGTATATTACAAAATTCAATCAAAGATGTTTAAGCAAGATTTTAGAAGGAACCTATATTACTTATTTATTTATTACATTTTTAATTGTATTTAAATCTTAACAATAAACATAATAATTCTCGAAATATTCCTGTTGAAACATAATTTTTAGAAAACACCTCTAATCGCTTAAAAGTTTCTACTAAAATCTTAATTTATTATTTTGCTTCGCGTTTCTATTTATAAACGCAAGCACCCAAATAAAATTTCAATCATCTCGATTCGTAGTTTTAAGTTAATGGGAAACCTGAATGTACTGTTGGTTGAGTGTAAAATGGGCGCATGCGCACCATACGGAAATTATATTGGACAGGCAGCGCGTGTGACGCCATTTTGATGAATGCTTTGTGTTAGTACGGAAGAGGTGAGTGCCGAAAATGTGCGATTTTTCGACGCTAGTTTAATGAGAGGCGGCCGCCGGCGTCAAAAAAGGTACGTAATTTCGTTATTTTAAGGGGGCGTCAGAGCGAACGGAAACGGCGTCGTCGTCTTCCCGCCGAACGGCGGCGGTGGCGGCGGCGTCGTCCCGCTAAATTTCGATCCGCAGCGTATTCGTTCCCGGGACGCATCCGATCCGATATACGAACGAGAACGGCCGGTTTAACTTCTATAAACGCGATTCGGTTGGACGAAACGAACGGAGCGGGAAAACTTTTGAGAGTTTTTGTTTTCGGGATGCGTTCTGGAATTGGATTTGGATGTTTGAAATCGATATTTATTTTTGTGTTTTTGCACCCGATGCGCCTGGTAAAGATTTTTTAATTGCTCCACCGACTTATGGTTCTAGATGAAAATGATCACTTCATGTATATTTTCATTTTACCTAAGCCACCATATCAAATCTAATCTGATTTCGTTAAATTGTTGCTAAACATTTTCTAGATTAAATGAGAAGTTTTTAAAATATGATGGTATGCAATAAACAATTGTTTATTGTTTTCTAAATCTTTCCATAAACAATTCTTTAAAGTTTAGATAAACTTTTCAAAATATTAAATTTCTTAATAAATTTAAAGCAACCTCAATGTGTAATAATGTGTTTTATTACACTAAACTTAGTGTTATTAATCATTAATAAAATTAATTAAAATGGCCTACACTCAACGTTCTTTATTAAGGAGAGAGTTAAGGTGGGTATACATTTGTTGCATATCTGCGCATCATAATGGATATGCGATACAAGGCAAGAGTGTTTTAAAATATTCCTATGTCTCTCCATACATAACGCAATGAGTATGCTCTAGCAAAAAAGCAGTCGCTTACAAGTTGTTTTAAATCAAGGGACGAGGAAACAACATTGAGAAATGCAGAAATGGAGTAGCTTCAAGCACGCCCTACAAGAAATAATTACAGGGATCTACAAAAAAGATAGAAAAAAAAGCAAATCCAAGAGTGGAAGATAGTGAAGATGAGAAGCATTCACACTCAGAAAGATAGAACCTGGTACAGACAATTATGTAAACAAGTATAGAAGAAGTGTCAAAACCGTACGCCAAAAAAGGATAAATCCAAGACAAAAACTGAAAGATATTGTGAGAAAACAACAAAATAGTGGACATATGGAGAGAATACTGACTGCCAAAAGCTATGGAGCCCGATTTAGAACCAAATAAAAGAAGCCGCGGAGAGAAGAAGCCTGCTCAATATTGGTCCAAAAACAAAACAAAATTACAGGTTATAACACTTGGTAACAAATACTACCATGTAATATCGCAATTTGCAAATAGATAGCAGATTGATAGATTCCTCATCTCGACAAGATTAGGTGTTGTCAATGCTTTTGCTTCAATCTTTTAATAGTTGTGCAAGTCGGTTTGCGTGGATTTCAAGCCTTAGTAAGTACTTGGAACTTAGCTGGCCAATTGCTTCTTTTACAGTAAGCATATTTAAGTCTTGACGTAAAAATCGGCCATAACTCAAAATGTCTACGAAAAGGATCGCCCAAGAAACAATTAAGCTAATCCAAGAAAGGAAGATAGTGAAGATGAGAAGCATTCACACTCACCAAGATAGAGCCTGGTACAGATAATTATTTAAACAAGTATATACAGGGTGTTTCGGTGACTCGGGGAACAAATGTAACCACATATACTAGAGTGAAAATGATGACGATTCATGTAAAAAAAAATCAGTAAAAGTCCTCAAATTGTAAAGATACAGACCATCAAAGTTAGGAAATTTTAACACATTTTTCTAAATATCTTAAACACTATTTATGGTAAAGCGTTGAAATTTGGTATAGTGTAAACTAATATCACGTAAAATCACTAGGCATTTTTTGAGTTGGATCGGTACGCGGGAACAATGCTATACAGGGTGTTCCTAAAGTTTGTTTGATCAGAACTTTTTTATTCTATCAAAACCCTACATTTATTTTTGCAGTTTCTAATAGAAAATTTATTTTAGAAACATTCATTACTCTTAGATAATATTGATAAAAATCACCGTTTTCGTGTTAAATGCAAAAATGTTAGGTTCCGATTTCAATAACACTAAAAAAACAAAAATCTAAGTCGGCCATGACAAGTGCAAATCGAACTGAGCCGTCATAAATATTATGTATGTAACATTTCCAAGTGTAGATTAGGTAAATCCCTTTTTAATTTGTTTTAGTTGATTTAATAAAAGATAATACAAAACAATAAATTTAATTTTAACGACAACGCTAACAGGAAAAATAAAACAAATACATAAAATAACAAGACAAGTAATAAAAAATACTATAGGAAATGTTCAAAAAGACCACATGTCCCTTCTGGTATTTAACGGAACGTCACTAAGAACTCGTCCAATCCTTCCAAATGTTGATGGTATGTAGGGCGGCCATCAAGTCTTGACGGCAAGAAAACGGGACCAACAATCCCTGCCCAAAGATTGAGAGAAAATCTCCATTGAGATTTCCAAGTTTTGAAAAATTTTGGATTTTCTTCAGCCCAATTATGTAAATTCCTTAAATTAATTATTCCATCTTTGGAAAAAATAGATTCATCGGTGAAAAGTATTTTTTCTAAAAACTGATTATCAATTTGTATTTTCTGGCAATATTCCAATCTAATTGGATAATCGGTACGCTGTACTTCTTGAACCTTACAGCATTGAAATGGGCAAAGCTGCTACACAGTCGTTTTTGACGTTCCAAATCGCCTAGCCATGTCCAAAGTTTTCTTCTGCATATTCTAAAATTAACTCCTCCAATTGAGGAGTTCGAACAGTTCTAGGGTTGCCGTTGTTCAGAAAGATATGTTTTAGTGATCCATTTTCTCTTAATCGGGCTTCAATTCGAGAAAACGTTTTTCTGTTGGGGGTTCTACGATTCGGGAATTTTTGCCGATAAACGGTTAGCGGCTGCTACGGAATTTCCAAGACATTCACCCAATGTTAAAAGCATATCGGTTTGTTCTCCAAACGTGTAATTTTCCATTTCGAACACCACAAGGTTTTTAGTATTTGTTTAACTTGTCATGGCAATTGAAATGGGAGCCTACCATTTTTGCATTTAACACGAAAACGGTGATTTTTATCAATATTATCTAAGAGTGATAAAAGCTTCTAAAATAAATTTTCTATTAGAAACTGCAAAAATAAATGTAGGGTTACGATCGAACAAAAAAGTTCTGAGCAAACAAATTTTAGGGACTCCCTGTATAGCATGGTTGCCGCCGCCCGATCAGTCAAAATTGGTTCAATGATTTTGCTTGATATTTGTTTACCCTGCACCAAATTTCAACGCTCTACCATAAATGGTATTGAAAATATTTAGAAAAATGTGTTAAAATTTTTGAACTTTGATGGCCCATATCTTGGCCATTTGAAGACTTTTATAATAAATTTTTATTACCAATCGTCATCATTTTTGCTCTAGTATATGAGGTTAATTTTATTCCCCGAGTCACCGGAACACCTGTATAACGCAATGAGTATGCTCTAGCAAAAAAGCAGTCGCTTACAAGTTGTTTTAAATAAAGGGACGAAGAAACAACATTGAGAAAATCGAGCAGGAGAAGAAAGTAGAGCAGAAATGGAGTAGCTTCAAGCACGCCCAACAAGAAATAATTACAGGGATCTACAAAAAGGATAAAAAAAAGCAAATCCAAGAGTGGAAGATAGTGAAGATGAGAAGCATTCACACTCAGGAAGATAGAACCTGGTGCAGACAATTATGTAAACAAGTATAGAAGAAGTGTCAAAACCGTACGCCAAAAAAGGATAAATCCAAGACAAAAACTGAAAGATATTGTGTGAAAACAACAAAATAGTAGACATATGGAGAGAATACTGACTGCCAAAAGTTATGGAGATCGATTTAGAACCAAATAAAAGAAGCCGCGGAGAGAAGGAGCCTGCTCAATATTGGTCCAAAATCAAAACTAAATTATAGGTTATAACACTTGGTAACAAATACTACCATGTAATATCGCAATTTGCAAATAGATAGCAGATTGATAGATTCCTCATCTCGACAAGATTAGGTGTTATCGATCCTTTTGCTTCAATCTTTTAATAGTTATGCAAAAGATTTTGTGCAAATCGGTTTGCGTGGTTTTCAAGCCTTAGTAGGTACTTAGACCTTAACTGGACAATTGCTTCTTTTACAGTAAGCATATTTAAGTCTTGACGTAAAAATCGGCCATAACTCAAAATGTAATAGCTTTAAACACGCCATACAAGAAATGATTAGATGGATCTACGAAAAGGATCGCCCAAGAAACAATTAAACTAATCCAAAAGAGGAAGATAGTGAAGATGAGAAGCTTTCACACTCAGCAAGGTACAAATAATTATTTAAACAAGTATATATACAGGGTGTGTCAAATGTCTGGAATATAGCCAATAAATTCGCCATTTGTGGTTTTAAAGAAAAATGTTTCAAATATTTGTTTGTATTGTTTCGTTGCTATGGCAACCAACATTGTTATTTTAAATGGGATGCATATATTTTTTTGCATACTTTGATAGAGGATAAGTCCCTCTATGCGATGAACATATCAAATCATATGGTTGTATAAGAAAAAAATCAAGAAAAATGCGTTTTTTGAAAGTCTAAAATTAGCTAGTTACAATCAAAGTAGGCGCCGAAATAACACCGTTGACAGCTTTAAATTTCAAAAAAATTACAGTTTCAACAATTATGAATAATTAATAATATATGGTCATTGGTAACTAAATATTATTGAACAAACTTCACTTTGAGTGCGTTTTCTATTACCTGCACCATATCCATACATTATTAATATTTGGATTCTTTGTCGTTCGCTTAATTGCGCCATATTTGTTTAAACTGTCAATTTTTTGATATTTAAAGCTGTCAACGCATTTTTTCTCAAATTTTTTCTAATACAACCATATGATTTGATATGTTCATTGCGTAGAGGAATTTATCCTCTATTAAAGTGTGCAAAAAAAACATATGCATCCCATTTAAAATAAAATGTTGGTTTCCATAGCAACGAAACAAAGAACAATGTAAACAAGCAAGTATCGCCAAAAAAATGCGCCACAATTAGTAAGAAATGTTTTATTTGAAACGTTTTTCTTCTTAAAACCACAAATGGTCATATTCCAGGCATTTGACACACTCTGTATATCAAATAAAACACAGACTCACATAGAAGGAACCCGCTCAATTTTGGTCCAAAACAAAACAAGCAAATTACAGGTTATAACACTTGGTAACAAATACTACCATGTAATATCGCAATTTGCAAATAGATAGCAGATTGATAGATTCCTCATCTCGACAAGATTAGGTGTTATCAATCCTTTTGCTTCAATCTTTTAATAGTTGTGCAAGTCGGTTTGCGTGGATTTCAAGCCTTAGTAAGTACTTAGAACTTAGCTGGATAATTGCTTCTTTTACAGTAAGCATATTTAAGTCTTGACGTAAAATGTGACCACAACTCAAAATGTAATAGCTTCAAACACGCCATACAAGAAATAATCGCAGGGATCTATAAAAAGGATCGCCCAAGAAACAATTAAACTAATCCAAAAAAGGATAAATCCAAGACAAAAACTGAAAGATATTGTGAGTAAAGAACAAAATAGTGGACATATGGAGAGAATACTCACTGCCAAAAGCTGTGAAGACCGAATTAGAACCAAATCAAAGAAGCCGCGGAGATCTTCCAAGCACTAGGAGACGACGGAGTGTTATTATTGCAATCTATTGTATATAAGAACAATAAACAGTATGTTTAATAATATATATCAAATAAAACAGACTCACGAGATTACTCAAGATTAGGTGTTATCGATCCTTTTGCTTCAATCTTTTAATAGTTGTGTAAAAGATTTTGTGCAAGTCGGTTTGCGTGGATTTCAAGCTTTAGCAGGTACTTGTAACTTAGCTGGGCTTCTTTTACAGTAAACATATTTAAGTCTTGACGTAAAATACGATTTGGCAAGAACCAAGAAGCGTTACTCATTTGTGAGAGAACTTTAAATATATTCCCAAACAGTTTTCAATATGGCATACAGGGTGTTTCTGTAAGTTGTGGCATAATTTTAATCACAAATACTAGAGTCAAAATGATGACGGTTTGTGTATTTTTGGTCCAAACCCATAAATGGCTAAGATATAGGCCATTCAAGTTAAAAAATTTTGAACATTTTCTTAAGTATTTTCAATATGGTTTGTTTTAGAAAGATAAAATTTGGCAAACAGTGCAAACTTTTGAAAATATGCAAACACGGGATCAATGCTATACAGAGTGTTCACAAAGATTATTTCGTTAAAACTTTTTTATTATGTCATAAACCATTAAATTTTCCAACTGATTTGATGGATACAATTGCTGTTCATGTGGGACATCTCAAGACGTACCTTTGGATTGAAATGTCTTAACTGTTGCTATCAACAGTACTATGTAGCAGTACTACGAACTGACCCTAGATTTCCGTTATTTACATACTTCTGTCTTAAATTTCCTGTCACGTAAATGTGTTTCGATATTTAGAAATGTTTTTCTATCAGGTTGTCTTTACTTACAATTTGTTTCCATAGGCACTCACGATTAATGAAAACATTCCAAAATCGAGGTTGTATCTTTTTGCAAATATCTCGAAAACGATGCGTCTAATCAAACATTGCTAAGAGTGGTTATAATTTTAAAATGAAATATTCTTTTAGAATAATATACATAATAACACCAATTGTAATCATTTTCACTCTAAATAGTATTTGTGATTAAAATTATGCCACGACTTACAGAAACAACCTGTATATAACAAATTTATTGTATAGAGTTATTACTTCCTATTCATAAACCAATACATTTTTCTATACAGCATTCCAAGTTGAAGCCGCTTGGTTCGTATATGTTTCTCCCAAGTCAGATCATGATCCAGGTTCATAAGGAATACATTATTAAAAAAATCACAATTAAATTGCGAACATTTCTCACCGTAATACCTAAGGATGTCATGTACGGGAATGATTTTTAACATTTTCAAAAATATGTCTATTACCTTGAACAGGTATGAGTTGGCCTCACTCGGTGCCCGCTTGACGTTGAATTTCGGGACACCTGTATATATATTTCTATCTTGAAACTTCTTTATTGCTCGTTGTACCTCCTCATAGAACATATTCTTATCTTGCCCGTATATGTATACCTGTATAAGTCCTCCTTTATCTTCCATCCTGTCCCTTCATTCTACTGCTTCGTCTAGAATTAAGGTTACTTCTTACGGGGTGCTATTAGCGGGGTCAGCCGAACCTCGGTTGTGTTTAGGAGGGTTACTTCTCTATCAAACTAGGATAAATGGGGATCCTAGTTTGCGACAGGTATAGCCTGAGTCCAATATTGGGCCCAAGAAGGCTGAATTTGTTATAGGCAAAGTAATTGCGTCAATTTTCTAATCATCTCATATCATGTACATAATCTACTTACAGTTAATTCTCTCTGAAGTCCCTAGATTGTCAAAGTACCGCGGTTTGCCGCCATTTTGGTTCGAAAGTCAAGCGGGAAATTTAAAACTATGTCATTCTATTGATAACATTACGCCAAAACTCCATTCTTTTTTCTCGTAGTGGTCTTAAGAGTCAAAAGTCCTTCTTACTCTCATTTTTGCAACTCCAAAGGCAACAAGACGGCAATATTTTTGTAAATAAGTGGTGAGATGCAGTGATAAGTTGTCAAACCGCCATTTTGGCTCGAAAACAGGCGTCATGAACAGCGGTACTTTGTAAATCTAGGGACTTTAATTCTTTCTAATATTTATTAATTACCTTTTCATGTATTTATTGTCAAATTTTAACCGAATTCGTCACTGCAAACTTGTTTCTGAAGAAGGTTGCAACATGGCATCCGAAACGTTAAACATTTTTTTCAAAAAACGCACGGCTTAACCCGAAAGATTCTAGTTCTAGGTCTAGTGTTAGTTTTAGTTTAATAGTGATATCTAACAACATCATGTTTGGAGTCATTTCCGAATGATTCTAGGTCTGGTGTTAGTTCTAGTGATAGTGCTAATGTAAAACTAATACTAGAACTAGAAATATTCCGGTTTAGACGTGCGTCTTCTAACTTTTCTAAGTTCTTGTCTAACTTAAAACTTTCTGGTTCTAGCTCTAGTATTTGTTCTAGTTTTAATTGTTATGTAACCCTAAATTCTTGTACATTTTAATTGATCTAAAAATTTTTTTTATTTAATCCACTTACCTTGCTTATAATTTCATCCATTTACCCATTTTGAATTAAATACAACCTTTAAATCCAATTAATTATGTGTTTTTCATTAAAAAAACTTAAATCCAACGTCAATTTTGATAAGTACCTGCAATATTTGGATCTTAATCACCATGGCAACCGAGTCAAGTTGGATAACCTAACAATAATAAAATTATAACCGTTAATATATCGCTTTATATTTTAATTTTTATTTTATTTTATATCTTTTTTTATGTTTTTATATTTTTGTGTATTGCTTCTTAAGTGAAATATCATTGTATAAATAAAAACATAAAAATGTCAATTTTGACAAAATTTTTTTTAAAATGTAGGGACTTTAATTCTTTCTAAAGTCCCTAGATTTACAAAGTACCGCGGTTCATGACGCCTGTTTTCGAGCCAAAATGGCGGTTTGACAACTTGTCACTGCATCTCACCACTTATTTACAAAAATATCGAGCCAAAATAGCGTCAAACCGCGGTACTTTGTAAATCTAGGGACTTTAATTCTCTCCATCTATCCGCGCCATCTGTTTAAATGTATTATTATTAAAATTACATCCTTGTGAAAATTTGACGACAAATTTTTTGCATAATAAACATAAACTTTTTTTAAATGATGACTGATCTAGAATTAACGATCATTATTATAAATTTACTTGGTTTAATTGTAAAAAGGATTTTCAACCATCCTATTTATAATTTATGACTAATTCATTATGAAATAATAATTATTTGAATTAGAGCGTAGATAAATTGATAATTATACCTGAGCTACAACATTTAATTGACTAAAATAATAACCATATCCGATAATAATTATTTTATAAACAACTATAACTTGTATTTAAAAAGTATTATTTTAAATTTCAGTGCACATTAATGGCTCGTAAGGATGTGGTTAAGGAGCGAGAAAAGAGCTAGAGGCATCAAGTCGTTTTCGTTATGCGCGAATCGCATACGAAAAGTTAGGGCGGCAAAACGAGCTTGCGCCTGGCAAAGTAAATTAACAAATAAGTTTCCCTTAAAGCCCTCCGTCGAGACGCTCAAAGATGAGAAAACGGCAAACGTCGGCATCGAGCCGACGCCAGTGAAAAAATTCGACACTTCCACCGAACATCATCACGAAGAATGTAAAGAAAACTACCAGGCTCAGCTCGTGCCCGAGATCTACGACGCTACCTTAGAAAAAAGTCTCGTCGAATCGCAACAGTTTGTTATTTTGGAATCGCAAGCTTTTAAATCGTTCGATGATCACGGTACCATTTACAATAACAATGCCGCCGATTTTACTCAAAATCCTGAACTGCCCGCCGAAATAGAGTACTCAACAATTGATAATTTAACTTGCACCGAAAATTTACAGCACTACGAGATACAAAGTAATAAAATGAACTATCAACTGGTTGATCGCAATGGGTACAATATGTATTATGAATATCCGGCTTTAAAAACTCAAGATTATCAAGACATACATTTAGACTTGAACGATTTAACTAACGTTAACACACAAGAATTTACAAATCTATTAGACGAAGAAATGGCCAAGGGAAACGAATTAATGGCGATGAATATGACTTCGATGGCTTACGATTACGCCACGTTATACTCGCAAACGTGTAACGACGCCTCTTTAATCTCGAGTGTTACCGCATCTCATCATCAACAAGAAGAGGAAAGATTGGATCGAAGACCCGGACACGTTGAAGTCGAAGATACATGGGAAGCATTCGATCCTTACATTTTCATTAAACATCTTCCACCGTTAACGTTTGAAATGCGATCGAAATGTCCCGCTTTACCGTTAAAAACTAGATCAAGCCCGGATTTTAGTTTGGTTTTGGATTTAGATGAAACCCTCGTTCATTGTAGCTTACAAGAACTTCCAGACGCCAGTTTTCATTTTCCCGTGGTATTTCAAGATTGCTCTTATACTGTATACGTACGCACTCGACCGTTCTTTAGGGAATTTATGGAAAAAGTCTCCCAGATGTTTGAAGTTATATTGTTTACCGCCTCGAAGAGGGTTTATGCGGATAAATTGCTTAATTTACTCGATCCGGAACGAAAATGGATAAAGTATCGTCTATTTCGGGAACATTGCGTTTATATCAATGGAAATTATATTAAGGATTTATCTATTCTTGGACGAGATTTGTCTAAGACTATTATTGTGGATAATTCTCCGCAAGCGTTTGGATATCAAGTAAGAATTATATTACATCTTTATCTACTTCTTCCAAAATATTGTCTCTTGAATCTTTTATATTATACTGTCTAGACAAGCAATTAGCTATCAATAAGTCTTTTCCAGGTTTATAAGTAATTATTACGTCAAAAGCTTGTAATCTTAAGAGTGTTTCAGATAAAGGCTTTTTAAATATTTGTTCCAAAGGTTTATAAACTGATTCCACTTTTACAGTTTTACCAAAAATAAATTGTTTATATTTTTCACGTCCGCAACAGATAGCTAACAGCTCTTTTTCTATTTGAGCCCAAGGTTTTTGAGTATTAGTTAAAGCTTTTGAAGCATATTTGCCCTTCCTGTAATAAAGTAGCTACTATCAACTGACAATGTTACAGGTTTACTTACATCATAACACCTAAAGGCAAGTGCTAGTGACAACTTATTTTTTAATTCTTTAAAATCTTTATTGTGAGTCTCAGACCACATAAATTCTGTCTTTTCTTAATAACAGTCTTAAATTGTTAGTTAAATTAGACAAACATGGTATGAACTTGCTTACATATGTCATTAAACCCAAAAATGATTGTAACTTGTAAGTCCTTTTTCTTGGTTGGTGTTGGCATCTTCATGATATCTTGTACAGGGTGGTTCAAATTCGTTGTCAAGTTAGAGAGATAAGACAATTTTCGTTTTTTTAAATGGAAACAACCACTGATTATTCGCTTATTAAATTCGTTATTTTTTTCGGATTACAAAAATGTGGGGTTAGATAGGTCTATTTCTTATTGTTTTAGAATAAAGTTAAAAATAAACTTTTTTGTTAGCGTCGTCAAAGAAATTAAATTTACAGTTTCCTGTAAATTACGGTACTATAACAAAAAATTGTTCTATTAAAAATTTACTTTATTTTCTAATATGTAACATTCTAACGTGTTAAACTTTTCGTAATCCATCTTAAAAAACAGGATTTTTAATTTGACACTTCAGAAAATTTTTGAATACAAACAAAAATGTTGCTATTTTTATTTGAATTAAAAATATATATATGAGCGCCATCTATCAATAATTTGTTAAGTCATTTAATAATAATATTAAATATTAATAAAAAATGTGAAATAATGCAATCTATTCCAACTTTTGTGTAAAACAAATATAAATTAAACAGTTCAAGAAATGTATTTATTTCAAATATCAGAAATATGTTTTTTTAATTTTTAGTTATAATTTACAGGAAGCTGTAAATTTAATGTTTTTGACGACACTAAAAAAAGTTTATTTTTAACTTTATTCTAAAACAATAAGAAATAGACCTGTCGAACCCTATATTTTTGTAATCCGAAAAAAATAACGAATTTAATAAGCGAATAATCAGTGGTTGTTTAGTGATTGCACCTCTGCTAATTCTGATGCTTTGCAAATTGTAGTACAATCCTCCACGATTAATTTATCTTCTCTTAGAAGTCTATCTCTAACTTTATTATTCCTAAGTCCACATACTCTATCTCTAATTAATCCATCTTTTAAGTTTTCGAAATTACTATGAAACTATCAAAGCTTTCACTTTCTCTTTGTACTGTAGATTTGAATATGTGTCTATTTACTGTTTCATTAGTCTTTGGTGTGAAGTGTTTTTGCAACTCCATTAAAACTTTTTTCAAATCTTTTCTTCATTGATGTGGATATCAAGTTCATATAATAATGAAGTTCAACTCCAATAGGACTTCTTTCATTGAATACAACTTTATTTATATCATTTTTGACATTAGCAACCTCATTGTAACAATCCCAATACGATATATACGAAGCGATACTCTTCGCTTTTAATTCATCAGCACATTCATTACTAACAGAACTGTCACTTTCGATTATTAATTAAAGTATCCTCTTTTTAATGCAAAAAGCCGTTTTGAAAAATCACTTTCAGTTCTTGAGAAATAAATTTTTGAAATGATCGACAATTTTTTCGATTTTTGCAATTTTCGCCGATTAAGTTTTAAAAATTCGTATAAAATCCAGTTCTTGGAGTATGAGTATGAAAATTTCCCAAAGTGTTAATAAAAGTGTCCTCTTTCCAATGAATCAACCCGTTTTGAAAAATAATTTTTAGTTTTTGAGAAATCATCAAGAGATTTTTGGAATCATTTGATCCTTATTTTATTTTTAACTATTAATAAAAATTATCTGTCATTAACCTTACATTAGATATTAAAATGTACTTTTATTAATTTTGTTATAGTTAAATAATGGAATTCCAATTGAGAGTTGGTTTGTGGATAGAAGTGATTCTGAATTAATGAAGCTATTACCATTTTTGGAAGATCTTGTTCAAATGGTAAGTGAGAATTACATAAAAACTCATTTAATAAATAATAATTTTTAATTTCTCTTATATAGAAAGAAGATGTACGACCACACATTCGCAACAAGTTTAAACTCTTCAGTTACCTACCACCGGATTAAAATACTTGTTAATTAACCCACTTATAGACATTAACCAATTTTGAATCAAACAACTAAAATTTTGATTCTAAATTGGTTAATTTGAAACCTTTTTAACTTCTGTGTCCTGGAATGGCGATTGAAAATCATCGACCAACGAGTTTCGATCGACAAATTTCGTAGTAGTGGTAATTTCTAATGGACTTTTGAAGTGCCTGATTCGGAAATTATATTTTTAAATGAATTTTAGGAGAAAAAAAGATTGTTTCTAAAAGTTCCTGAATTGTTGTATAAAAATTTTTAAAGATATCTAGGATGTAATCATTTTCGGTCGATTTAATTTTTTTGCTCGCCATTCCTCAGCCTTGCACCACTAAAGTTAACCGATTTTTAAACGAAATATCGGATAAAAATAAATAAATAAATGAAAACACTGAAAAAATCGTTCTATAGGGATCAATTATATAGTAGTAGCGTTCTTGCCATCCGTGTAATAATGGTTAAATTAAAACTTAATAAAAAAAAAGATAAAAAATTAAGAAGAAAACTAATGGCAACAGAAAAAGAAATAATTATACAAGCAAATTTCGTTAGTAACTATACATAGATATAGTCATAGCAATATTGTGCACAAAAAGTATATATTATTTGTTATTTCTGTTCAAATTTTAATGAAAAAAAGATAAGAATTAAAGGATAAAAATTTGTTTTTATTTGTTTTTTATCATTGTTAACGCTATTTTCGAAATATAGTTAATATATCCTTAAAAAAGAGAAGATACTGTAACAATCGGTTGTGTATAATCTACATTTATATTTCCATGTAGATCTAAGTTATGTTGAAAGCAAGAAAATTGGATGTAGCCTTCTTTTCTGATCTACATTAAATAATTCTTTTTGTGTACTTAGAGAATTCTGGTTAATTTACTACATATTATTACTTGTGCAGATCGTCTCGTAACGTCTAAGATAATTGTTGATGTAATTAATAAATATTATGAGTTTAATTTTTTCAATTACAATGCAGTATTCGTCAAGTCCTCCGTTATCGTCGGCTTGATCATTTACGAGTTTTAATTATGTTTTGTTAAATTTGTTAACGTCGTATACGTGTCGGACGAGTTCAAACGAGTTTGCATGTTGAAGTTTATGATATTACAATCGTACTTTTATTTGTTATTATCCCCTTATATTATACTTTTTCCCCATTCTTCATCTTTTTATTATTATTTTTTTAACAAAATAGTTTTGTTATATTATGTAATATAAATATATATTATAAATATATGAATAAAAATATTTAATATTATCAGATTTTTATTTTAAGCTACCTTTATTGTTACATTTCGTGGCGTTATAAATAAAAAATTGGTGGTTAGGCAACCAAATTAACTCAAAATTATCTGTTGTAGGGATGAATTTGTGTGGCACTTTTAATATTAGTTTTAATAGTTGATGGTGTTTTATTCATTGTCATTGTTTGTGTGGATGGTGGTATTGGGCCTTGCCCAGCACTACCAGGGCGTCCTTGTGGAGGAACCATCATTCCTCCTGTAGGTTGACCAGGTGCTCCATTAGCATTGGGATTAGGTTTCAACCCCTTCCCCATCCCAATAGCTGTAACTAATAGATGTGTATCCGAAACGCTTGAATGTTGCTGTGTATTCCCTCGAGAGGATGACTCAACTTCCCATTCCTCTCTTGTTTTACTAACAATATCCCAAATGTTAGAAACGACTTTTTGATAAGCAGCAACTTGTTTCTATAACAAATCCATATTAATTAAGTTAAACATTACTTTGAGATTATTTTACTTGAGCATTTTCATAAGTCACAGTTGCAGCTTTTTGCTCAAAATGTAACATTTTACTTTCAGCCATTGGTTCAAGTTTTGTTCTTAAATAATCAGGAACTAAATCATGCGCAAATGTGGTTACGCGTCCCTCAGTTAATTGAGCCAATTGTTCATCACGTTCTGGCGATAAATTTAGAGGTAACACCGTGAGATTTCTTAAGGGCGGACACTTATCGTGATTCAGTAATTTAGAAAGTGAAGTTAACTAAAAACAAAACATGTATATACCGCTTAATAAAGTTAATATTGCATGAAATACTTACGTGTCCTGAAAGTAATGCAAAATTATCAAGAAATTGGGGCCAATTTAATGTTTCATATTCGTTTTCAACCTTGAATATCATCGCTGCTATCGATGATTTTAAATCGTTTACTCGTTGAATTAATGAGTCTAACGCTGATTCTAATTGTTTTTCTTCTCTTTGTTGCATTTTATCACTTTTAAAAAGTTATTTAATAAAAATGTTAGGTTATAATTTTTTGACAGATTGATTTGACGTTATTTGTACTTTTTAAGGTTATGTTGTCTTATCTCTAACCAGCGTTGCCAACCCTACCGATATACTACTAAATCTACCGATTTTCAAAATTTTAACAAAGTATTATGAAACACATCACAAATTGTACCTTATGGGAATACCCTACTTATATTGCATAAAAGTATATACCAACGATATGGCAATGTCGCTATATGTCGTCATAAGTAAACCTCCTGCCTAATTTGACAACGGTTCAAAATATAATATTGTCAAAATAGATATTGACGCATCTAAGAGCAAAAGTGCAAGAGAGCAATATTGTTAACAATAAAATATGCAACAATTTTTGTTGTAAAAGTTTTCTTATAGCAAGCTCCGATTCTCAAGTGTTACATTTAATAACTTGAAAGAGCAACAAATTCATAACATTTTCATATTTTCGTATCTATCTCGATATTGACGTATCTAAGAGCAAAAGTGCAAGAGAGCAATATTGTTAAGAATAAAATTTGCTACAACTTTTGTTCTAAAAGTTTTCTTATAGCAAGCTCCGATTCTCACGTGTTACCTTTAATAACTTGAAAGAGCAACAAATTCATAAAATTTTCATATTTTCGTATCTATCTCGATATTGACGTATCTAAGAGCAAAAGTGCAAGAGAGCAATATTGTTAAGAATAAAATTTGCTACAACTTTTGTTCTAAAAGTTTTCTTATAGCATGCTCCGATTCTCAAGTGTTACCTGTAATAACTTGAAAGAGCGACAAATTCATACAATTTTCATATTTTCGTATCTATCTCAATATTGACGCATCTAATAGCAAAAGTGCAAGAGAGCAATATTGTTAAGAATAAAATTTGCTACAACTTTTGTTCTAAAAGTTCTTTTGTAACATGCTTCGATTCCTAAGCATTAAATTTAATAACTTGAGAAAACAATAAATTCATCATATTTTCGTATGTATCTCAATATTGGCGCATCTAAGAGCAAAAGTAATTATCATTTTAGTCTGCCCAAGATGATTTTTGAATTGGATCATTTATAACAACTTTATAAAATTAGACACAAATTTCTTGTAAATCTTCTTAAAACAAGGAATGTTCTTTGTTGGTTGTTTATCAGAGTCTTTACAAAACGTCCTTTCTCCTCTTTTCATCAAATATTTATTTGTAACATTCCCAATATTCTTGTTATACTTGTTCTAACTAAATCTCTTCTTGTATTTTGTTGAGTGTTCCTTATTATTTGAATCATCATTTGCGTTATCTCCATATCATAGTTACAGTCTCTTTATATTCTACACTACTACTACTACTACAGATTTACATTATTTGTTCTTGAAATGAAAATAAGCCCATTTTATTTAGTATAGTGTTGCATTCCAAAATATCTTTAGATAGTGAGAGAGAGAAAGATATTTATTCCAGCTTATCACAATACAATTAAAAATTAATTAATATTATTATACAATGTAAACTTAAAGTTAAACTTCGAAGCTGGAACGGGCTACCGACTGTGATCCTTCTGCCCATGTTACATTGATTAGTCATCTTTTAGGAATTCGCGATTTTCTTGTAAATAGTGTCAAAATTTGAGCATTGAAAAAGAGGAGAAGAGTTTGTGGACATATTTTTGTAAGCTTTTTGTGCGAGGAGAGATATTCGTTGAGTAATGGGAATAATTTGGAATTTTTCATAAAGGTGTTTGTTAGAGGGGTTGAATAGGGGATTTCTGCAACTTCTAGATGCGATGTCGCCTTTTTGCTGATTTTAAGGAAGTGAGACATCGAAATTGCTTTGCACTTATTACCAAACAGTACTAAAACTGGCGTGATTATAAACGTGATTGCTGTAAAGGTACAATTAAGCTTTTGGTTATGATCTATTAGCTTAGGTCACATCATGACCTTGGTTAAAATTATAAATTGGATGTAAATGTGATGTAAGTAATAATAAATAATACATAAAGTATAAAAATTAACACATTTTATTCTTACTGTGGTATTTTGATGAACAAAAATAATAATATAAACAATTTTTTTTAAATAACAAACCAAAAAGTTGTTGCTAGTAAAGAAAAACGGAACACAAACAGGGAAAGAAACATTAATACTACTTAAACTAATAAAAAAAGTGCATTTTAAAAAAATACATCTAAAAAGAAATCAGCCTTCCATATATTGGCAGTGTTTGATTCATTTTTCGCTTTTTCTTTGGCTATTTCACTATTGTATTAAAAACTATGAATTAAAAATAATAAGTACATAATATACACTGCAGCTTTAAACGTAAATAAACACTTTAAATAATTAATAATAAATTAACAGCTTGAACGGCAATTTTGAACATATCTTTCATCTTTAAGAAAAAAAGTTTTATTTTTGTTAATAAAGTACTATGGAATCAAATATTTCTTAAATTATTTAGGTCTTCACTTAAATCTGCAGTATTGATTTCCGTCTCTTCTTGATATCGTTTCAATTCACTCATTAATTCCTAAAATAATAATTTTATATTACTTTTAATGCGTTTATTAAATTTAAAAAGCTTACGTCTGGTAATTTCGTTCTATTATAATTCTTTGAGTATTGCTTAATAATTCGGCTTAACTGATAATGAAGATCTAATAATGATTGCAGAGATTGGTTGGTTGTAACTTCAACAGCAAAATTTAAAATTTTGTTTAATTCATTTTCTGAAATTTCAACAATTTCTTTCGAATGAACATCGCTAGTTTCGTTTAACGCCTGATCAACATCGTCAAAATCTAAAGTATCTTGTAGTAATTCAGAGGGACTCATAAGATCGCTTAACCTTCGTTTTGCATTTGGTGATCTAAAAATGTTTTAAATTAATATTTTAAGATTTAGTTAGATTTAGGTTTTGTTACTGTAATGGATTATTAGTTTTAATATTCGAGGTACAATCAACTGTTAATGGGGTTAAAGAATTAGTCATATCATGACTATCTTCAGAGTAAGAAATTCTCGCTCCGTTTGTGTTTTCTGAATCCATGTTATTATCTTTTGATTCATCAGAAGATTTATCATCAATCTAAAATAAATTTATTAAAAAATAGTTATAAAAAAAAAGTTGATTTATACATTTTCCTCCGCTCCTTCGTTTTCGGGATTTTTTTCACGTCGTTTTTTCTTTCTAGAAGTAAGCAAACCTCTTTGCCAACTAGGTAACTTTCTTTTTCTATTTGGACTTGTTCTTGTTGTACTTGTACCGTTTGATAACGTTGGTTTTTGAATTTGGTCATTTGGTGGTTTTCCATTTATTAAAACAATTTCTACAAAAATAAAGACGGTTGAGATTGAGGTGACATCAATTATTATACTGCTAATGGTAGAAGTAAAATTCCGGATCTGCTGATTTTTTATTACGAAAAATATATCGCTTAACTTCATAAAGATAGAAGAGGAGTTAGGGCTGAACAGTAATTATTACTGTAAATAACAAAGTATGTAACAAAGAACCATTTTTATCACTAACTAATAAATTCACTAATTGGAATCTATTTCAACAAACATTAGATAATAAAATCATCTTAATGCTCTTATGAAAACAAACCAAGACATTGACAAGGAAGTAGAAAAGCTCTTAAAAGACATACAAAACGCAGCCTAGGCCTAAATCTAATATTTATCCTAAATTCATGATAAGACAAAATTGCAGAAAAAAGGAAAGTAAGAAAGAAATGGCAAATCAATAGAATTCCTAGTGATAAAACTAAATTAAATAAAATAACAGCCGAATTAAAAGCATTAACAGATAGCCACAGACAAAACAATATTCAAAATTACTTAAAAGGCCTTACTGACGATGTCAGTACTGATTATTCTCTGTGTAAGCCAATAAGAAAGCTTAAAGTTCCAAAAACACATTCACCTGCAATTCGAAATAGTAATGGAATTGGGCTAAGTGCAATCAAGAAAAAGTTAATTTGTTTGCTAAATATCTGAAAGCAACTTTTACATCAGACGGTCCAACAACTATGCTAAATAGTGTTCCTAGCATAATTCAAAGTAATCAGCAGAGTAATATACCATGTGTAAGAACTAAAGAACTGTATTATGAAATTCAAAAGCTAAATATACAGAAATCAACAGGCTATGACCTAATTAATAGAGAAACAAAACGGGCGATTACAAAACTATTACACATAATTAATGCTGCTTTTAAGCAGAAATACTTCCCAAGTATATGGAAAGTTACTAAAATAATGATATCAAAACCTGGTAAACCCGCTACAGATGTTACATCATATGGGCCAACCTCATTATTACCCTTATTATCAAAACTATTTGAAAAATTACTATTAAAACGACTAAAACCTGTCATAGAAGAGAAAACCCTAATACCAACACAAGTATACTAGTACCTAGTATACTACTACTAGTCTGAAAACGCATGGCTAAACCCGAAACTTTCTAGTTCTAGGTCTAGTGTTAGTTCTAGTTTTAGTATCAATGGTAGGTAGCGCTAGTTAGCATAAGATATTATTATTATTATTATTGCTGCCGGGCTGAGGGGAGCGGCCCCTCTCGTTACGAGTTTAAGTTTGATCCTCAGCTTGTCCAATGTGGAAGAGGTGTTATTTTAGGGGCGCATGGCCGGTCAGGTAACCTGAGAGCGTCCTTACATCCCCTTTATTGAGGCATAAAACCTCTTTGGTTTTGTTTTGCAATGGAGTTATCATACTCTTCGCTTGTATGTGACCTGGAAGTTCTTTCCAGCGTGAGGCTACCTTTGAGAACTTCCAATTGTTGATTATTTGCTTTAGGTGGCTTTTTTGTCCAGCTTGCCCGCCTTCTCATTGCCTTCAATGTTACTGTAACCTGGAACCCACCATAGGGTAACATAATTGCCCCTAGCGAGTTCTCTCAGGTTGTTGGTACACTCTCTGATGAGTGCGGAGCCACACGTGTAGGCCTGAATTGCCTTTAAGACGGCCCGACTGTCTGTGAAAATGTTTATGGATGCACCTTTTTGTCCCTTCAAAGCGGTGCAGAAGTTTATAACAAGAACTTCTGCTTGGAAAATTGTTATGTCCGAGCTGAGGGGCAGTTTAATGTGGCTATGTGGTCTTATATTGGACTCTGAAGGGTCGCTATACCAGGCTAGGGCTCCTCTTTTTAGTTGAGGCCCTCCCTTCGCCCAATCATCTATCCTTCCAAATATGACCTTATACGGCTGGTTGAAATTGTATTCTGTCGGTATTTCGAGGTGTCCTCTGAGGTTGCCCTGCATCAGCTTGAATGAAGAAACTGTTTTCAGTGCTAAGGCGCTTGAAGCTACCTCCTTTCGTATATATAAATGGAGCGGTGTGAGACCGAGTAGGGCTTCCAAAGCAGCCGTCGGACAAGATCTCATTGCATCCGTTATGTTAAGACATGCTAACCGCTGGATTTGTGCCAGCTGTTGTTGTGCTGTCTTATGTTTTATTTTTGGCTACCAAACCAATGAGGCGTAGGCGACCATGGGTCTGATTATTGCTACGTAGACCCAATGAGCCAGTCGTGGTTTGAGAGCCCAGTTCCTTCCTAGGAGCCTGCGGCAGATCTAGTTTGCCATGATGGCCTTTTTCCTCGCCTTATCTAATTGTAAGTGTGAGTTCCAGTTTAGTTTACTATCTAGTATTACCCCTAGGTATTTAACTTCGGTTTTGAGGTTAATAGTTTTGCTTTCAATGGAGGCTGCTTTTATTTGTAGCTTCCTTCTCCGAGCCCATTGCTTCTACATCAAATACTGGTGAGTAGCAAGGCTTTCTGCATTAGTTGAGTTATGATTGTATCATATTTACCTCGGATTGTAATTACCAGGTCATCAGCATACCCCTGAATCTTGAATCCGTTTTTTGTTATGGTTTTCATCAAGTCATCAACTACCAGGCACCATAATACAGGTGATAGCACCCCCCCTTGGGGACATCCTTATAGCGCCTTTATAGTCAACGACTCGCCTCCCAGACTGGCTGTGATTTGCCGACTTTTCAACATGGCTATACACCATTTGATTGTCGACGGATATATATATGACGGATATGGATTCATAGGAGATGTTATCAAACGCACCCTCTATGTCTATGAAAGCACATAGGGCTATCTTTTTGGTTGCAATTGCCTCCTCTAAGGTGCTAGTCAAAGTATGGAAAGCAGTAATTGTTGATTTTGCTTTCTGGTAAGCATGTTGGCTAGGGTGGAATGGATTAGTGACATGCACTCCATTCCTAAGGTATTGATAGATTACCTTTTCCATCCCTTTGGGGAGAAATGAAGTTAGGCTAATTGGTCTGTATGCCTTGGGGTCGGCGTTTGAATACCTACCACTTTTAGGTATGAAGACCACCTTTACTTTCCTCCATAGTGTGGGTATATAGCTAAGGCTGTAGCTAGCTATATACAGGTTGTCCCGAAACTCAACGTCAAGCGGGCACCGGGTGAGAGGCCAACTCATACCTGTTCTGATAAAAATAAGAAAAAAATTCTATGTCTCTTAGTTAAGTGGTAATAGACATATTTTTGAAAATGTTAAAAATCGTTCTCGTACATCATTTCTTTAGGTATTACGGTCAGAAATGTTCGCAATTTAATAGTGATTTTTTTAATAATATATTCCTTATGAACCATGCTACTATAGCAGTCACAAATCAAACAACAAAAGCCGTTAGTTTTGCAAAAAAATGTATTAGTTTGATTGAGTTAAGGTTGAAAGAATTTATGTCTATTTAGTTTGACACACGGTTTCTAAACAAAGGAGTAGTACAACACCCTTGGCAAGTTATTTTAAAAGATGGCCTGCTTAATCAAGATTCCAAAATGGTATAACACTTGCCATTTTTCTTTTCCTAAAAAATATTATTGCCTTAAACGATAAATTGAACTAGAGGTGTTGTTATATGAAAGGTTTTTTAAAAAAAGACCACTTTTCCTCCGTAATTGTTATAAATTAATCAATCTGAGACGTTTCGGGAACACCTCCCATCTTCAGTCTACAAATAGTCACTCGTAATATTATCTACAAAAAAACCACAACAAAAGACCATAAAAATCTCAAACCACACAAAAAAAATACAAAAATTAATCGGTGTCGAATGTTAAAAAAGTTTACCTCTAATCTTGATATGATGATTTAAAGAAAACAATATTTTAAAATTACTTTGCATACATGTATGTGCGTCACATTGTACAACTGTTTTGAAATACCATTGTACGAAGTTTCAAGGTTAATTTTACTACCCAAAAACTGGAATTCGTTCTTCCTTTCTACCACTCCCAAACGTCTTCTATCTATCTCGCTTTATATATTTAATCTATCTAAGATATTCGCGTAATGCGCTCCAATTTTCCCACCATCAGTTTTGAAATTGACTGCGTGATTGATATTTTTTGTTATATAAATTGATTCTAAATTTTTCCTTATTAAGGTATTATTATTTGTATTGAGAATCTTGGGGTTTTCAAAGTCAAATTTGTGGTTTAATAGTACAGAATGTTGACACAATGCTGTTTTATTATTTATTTTGATCTGTTTTGAGTCATATTGATGTTGTTGAATTCGTTTTTTCAGGTGTTGTTTTGATTCTCCAATATAAACTTTATCACAATTCATACAATTTAATTTATAAACGGTATCGACTTTGTCTATCATCTTAATTTTATCCTTCATATTTGAAATCAATGTGTTTATTTTATTATTATTTTATTTTGCAAATTTAATTTCTTTAAAATCATGATCTCTGAATACTGAAGTTATTTTATTCGTTAATGACGGTATGTATTTAATCTTACAAAACTTATTCAAATTTGTTATTTTATTAGTTTCGTCATTTATATTTCTATTATCTTGTTCACTATCATTCTTCTGATTATGTTTATCGAAATATTGTGAAATATTGTGTTTATAGAAACAATTACGGAGGAAAAGTGGTCTTTTTTTAAAAAACCTTTCTTTATTATGGCCTGTTTTTCTGCAAAAAACGCTTCTTTTAAAAAAATCACTATTAAATTGCGAGCATTTCTGACCGTAGTACCTAAAGATATGATGTATGGGAACGATTTTTAACATTTTCAAAAATATGTCTATTACCAGGTATGGGTTGGCCTCTCACCCGGTGCCCGCTTGACGTTGAATTTCGGGACACCTATACCGGGTGTCCCTCAAAAGTGGCTCACCCCCATATTTTTTTTAATTATTAGTGATATAAGAAAACCATGTGGAATGCATAATTAGGCCGTTAAAACGGATTATTACGACAGGACATCATTTTCTTTGTGCTTCCGGTTATACCGGAAGTGAGTACTAATTTCGCTATTTTTTTAAATCTATAATTTTTTTTTCTTCAGTTGGGCAGACAGCATAATTTCACATAACTTTTACATGAAAAAATTTTCACGATCGCTTATTGAAAAAAAAATTATTTTCATTATTTTTTAACGTTTTAGTACCTTCGGAAAATGTATTACAACATTTGACGCATAGTAACTAGGTTAATAGTATAAACTACGTTATGTTTCTCGTGATTTATTATTTCTTGAGCAGTGATCACTGCTATGCTTTAGTCAGTGGTTCTTTTTTAATAATGGTGTAAATTAACAGTTGTATTAAATCAGTTTTAAAACAAAAACTTGAAATAACATTTTTGATTTTGCTCCATAAAAGAAGATCTAAAGGTGTGAGGTCAGGTGATCTGGAAGGTAAAAAGATAGGAATAAGGAGAAATGTGAGAAAGAACCGGTTGGTTCTCACCGTGGTGGCCACTTTATTGGTCCATTATTACCAATCCAATCGTTATTGTACTTTCTGCTTAAAAAATCAGTAACCACTCTGCTGTTGTGAGGTGGGACGCCGTCTTGTTGGAAAATTAGTCCTTTATAAGTTCCAACTGGTAGGTCCTCCAGCAGATCCTCAATTCCATTATTAACGAAGTTGAGGTATCTTTCTCCTGTAAGATGACCATCAAAAAATATTAGACCCACCACTCTTTCTCCAATGATTCCGATCCAACAATTAAAACCAAATCTTTCTTGGAAATTCCCTTCCTCCATCAAATATAAATTTTCTTATGCCCAATACCTTTTATTATTTCGATTAAACATACCCAAGTTAGTAAATCGACTCTCATCTGTATACAGAATTTTGAAGGGAAATGCATTATAGTTTTCATATCTTTCTAAATACCAATTACAATAGTGGAGTCGTCTTTCATAAACATTCTCGTACAAATGTTGATGTAAATGGTATTTGTAAGAACGAAGTTTATGTTTTTTTAAAATCCGCCACGTCGATGTTTTTGAAATTTCGCATTGTATCGCAATCTCCCTAACTGATGCACTGTTGTTATTTTCGATGCATGCCAAAACATTTCGTTCCGTATCGCCACTTACAATGTATCTAGGGTTTCCATTATTGACCGGCTCTGTTTGCATTTTCGCCACAATTTTTGGAAAGTAATGCCTTGTTGGGTGGCGACGACCAGGAAATCTCTGCGCGTAAAGTCTAGCAGCAGCAACTGCGTTTTTTCTGCATTCTCCAAATATTAATATCATATCTACTTTTTCGATTTGCATAAATTTTTCCATAATTTAAATTGAAATTAACGAATATTGTCAACTAATGAACTTAATTACGTTACTTAATTTACGTTATGTCAAATTGCTAGCAATTTTTTTTCCATAGCCACCTTGATAGGTTTTAATCAAAATAAAGTAAACAATCCAAACCATAATGTACA